TATGAACTATGTAATCTCATAGATACTCAATACAGATTCGTCGGCATATCTATAGAGGGATTGAGGAAGATGCGCGTCGAATAGTTTCGTTATCTAAAATTTACTGGGCATGGAACAACGCAACATATCGTTTTTTCGCGTAATATATAACCATTCCTAAAAACTGAAATAGAAAAATACACATTATATAGAGACACAAAAAAGATTCTTTACGACTAATCTCTAAAAGCCTTTCTATATAGTAAACATTTGTGCAATTCGGCGAAAGTGAACGAGCTGAAACAAAAATACTATTCGAAAACGCTAGTTAATTCTTCGTTGAACAAAAATGAGTAAAGTCGCCTTTAAATTGGAGTAAACCGCTAAGAAAAAAGTACATTATAATAATTAAAGGTTATTCATTAGATTACGAGTGAAGCAAATTATCCCGCTAGGGTTACTAGTTTTTACATTTACTCGATTAGAATACGACAATGTTAGACTGAGTTCTGTTGGCGCTTACAGAAGAGGAGGGCAGCCATATCAGCCGGTATCGCTGATTAGAAACTATTGTGGGTCGGCACTATCCCTCAAGCTGTCTGTTCGCTAGCCAGAGGAGTGATGTACGCATTATGCCTTTCCGTTATGATATAACCGAAGCACAGTGGATTGTACGCATGTTTTCAGAGCTATCGCGCACTTGTACGCAAAGGGGCATCTGTTCTATGAAGTGTTTCAAAAACCGCTTCTGTAAATTAATGGAATCGTTCTGCCGTCTTGATGGCAAGGCATAGGAATTGCGATAAACCAGCCCAATAAAGAAACATCTTCGAGATATGGTTCATGTCAACTTCATTGTTAAAATTTGCACTCAACTTAGATAAATACTTCTTCACATATTGAACGGGTACGATCGTACATATTCCACACGATTTGTCCCCCTACCAAACGAAACGATAATAGCTAGCACCGATCAGCTCGTCCTATCATTTCTCGTAAATATTAATTACTGTTTGCGTGGTCCATCGGTCGCCTCGTATAAGGTATATTTGTGTCATTTAATCAAAATGCTTGAATATATTTAGGCAGTCATTGGTCTATTGTGCATAATGATACTAATGATAATGAAGATGAATAGTAAAAGTTCAATAATCTAACTTGATACGTTTAACATTGACTGAGACGATCTTATTGGCATCCCAGTTCAAGAACAAGGAGCAAATAACTGAGCCAGAAAAAATTTACTAGAAATCTCCATAGGGGAGCGCCTCCCGCGGCATGAATGATGTTTACCTTTAGAGGTCGACCCCTCGAGGAAGAAGGGTCGTTATTTTGACGAACAGTTGCTGTTGTTTCCCGTGGCCAAACTGGAAGTTTGGATGAAATTAGGAACGTCAACGCGTGGAAATGGCATGTTCATCAAACAGGAGTCACTTTCCGCAGTTTTGATAGCGACTCAGATAACCTATTCGAGCAGAATCTGCGGACCGTATTAATTATTACTGACTAGAATTCAACCCAATTAATCATGGCGAATGGCTGTAAATGTTAACGTCCTATGAGACGCATAGTAAATCATGCGAAATAGTGGGCGGTATATTATCTTAAAAGTGTACTTCATGTCATCTATTTCTCATTATAGGTCTGGCCGTATTTTTGCACCTTAACTTCTTCTAGACTCTCATATCGCCTAAATATTCCTAGGATCATCTTAAGTAAATCACCGCTTTTAAAGCAGAGCCGCTCCTATTACAGTCAACATTAAATTGCTGATTGACTATGGACTGCAGCTGAAGTGTTTTGAAAATGGGTGCGGGGCAGAAAATTAGACACGACAAGTAAACATTGTATTCTCAGAAGATAGGCAACTATCAAACAAGAATATCGTTAACCAAATTTCAAAGGATGGTCAAAATTTGACGTGTATTTTACGCTGGGGCATGTAGTGATCAAATTTTGTTACGCGTTCGTTTGCAATATAATAGTTTTCAATGTAACATGATTAAGTGCTCTAACAAGACTAAGGGTTAGTTCGTTTTGCTCAAACATACAACACGCCAGAAGCATGTCATTACTCTTAACCAGTAAAATAACGACGTCTTCTTTACAGGTAAATTAAGTATATTTATAAAGCGTTTCCCTCATTTTGCTGGTGTCCGGGCCATACGTCTGTGACAATTAGATCCTAGGTCAATCAGAGGCACACACGCCGCTTTCCCCTATACCGTGGCCCAGCTGGGTTCGCGCAACCGGCGTCTATGAAGACCAAATCCTTATCACCAGATGCAGAGCACCAGACTTTCTCGCTTGCTCTCATCTTCTTTCATTGTTCGTCTTCACGTGTCGATCCGCTGCTTCGTCAGTCATCGTTGTCTCCTCGCCATTCTGTTGCACCGAGTTGCTTAGCGCTGATGGCCGGTTGTCTGTGAACTGTCGGAAGAGAGGAGGAACAAACTTCACGCGCGAATTTTTCCAACCTCCTCCCGACACGATGATAATAGAGCCGTGGTTGAACGATCGTTCGATGTTCGACATACGCTCCACTTCTCCAGGCCTGACTTCTGCCTATTTAAAGGCGGCAGCTAGGGCCTCGAGCCCAGAGTCTGCTTTGTGTTACCGGGGGTGTAACGATCGCACTCCTTTGAACAACGAGGAAGCGTCCTTGAAGATGACTCGGATCGCACTCCTTGCCATTCTGACAGCGACTACGACTGCTGTGCCACTCTATCAAGGCTTTTTGGCCTACCAGACGATGCAACCCGCCCATCAGAATAGCGGTGAAGACGGTTACGTTGTGCCGGTCCGCTTTGAAGTGAAGCCAGAGGATGTTTCTCATGGAGTCTCGGGCTTCCTCCACCATAATGTGAGCCCCAACGTAGCCTGGTACTGGGTCCGCGGCCAAAAGTGGAAGTGGAATTACATCCACACAGCACTGCAGGCTGCCGGCATTCCTGGAGACTGGGCCCCGTACCCACCAAGCTGGGACGAGTCACGCTTCGGCTCAGTACCTATTACGGCAGTTCCCATTGTTGCGACAGATGGCTCGTCAGCTGAAGGCGTCCCCATGGGTTCCATGATCACTGGATCGTCGTTCACCATAAACAAGAAGAAGTAGTAAACGACTGCCTTTATATAATAAAAGCTGTTTCCGAAAATACGATGGATCAGCGTGTCCTTCACCCTGACCGCGTATTCAAGCGAGCGTTTTCATAGGTCATGTTGCGTAGCATTTTCCTGGTATTATCTTTTGTGATCTGTGGAACTGCCTAGCCAGCGCATAGTTGGAGGTTGTGTACTAAATACAACTATAGGTGACTGACATCAAAGAGAGAACCTCTCGGTAATTGCAATGGTATCAACCTTCAGCTAGATTCTCAGCCCACCCTTTGGGTATCTGTGCAGCTTATTTATATAGAGTAGCAATTTAAACAAATAGAGGCTTGTCAACAACGACAGTCGAAGTGTATCACTTTCGTGAATAAACCTCGACACTTGATTCCGAATTTGAGTGTCATTTTTAATACGAAAGACTGAAACGGCTTACGGTGCACGGGAGATCTCTAGAAAATAAATATATAAATATTAATCGTAACAATCTCTGTTTTGAATATGCTCTATGCTCTTTTTCCTAGTCCAGTATACTTGACGGCGCTTCAAAGTCCTCGTAGGAAACACTATTGTTATTTGATGACAGTATCATGTTATGCATAAAGATAAATTAACAAAAAATGAAGATCCGCATTATGAGCTGAAAAATTCAACGTCTCACTAAATGCATTAACAGCAAGCTTTGCCGTACTCATTGTTTGAGTGGCGGTAGGGGGCACCCTCACGTTGGTGCGTGCCTTACCTAATCTCAATGCTTGCCCTTTTAGGTGTGAACAGATCACCTGTTCCATTATACAATAGCCTATTGTGTCTGCCACCAGGCTAAACACCGGTCAGAGCTGCTGCTGCCTCAGCAACCGTTGGGATCGTGTCTGAAGACCTCATACTTTTTCATCTGGACCCGCGCCGTTCACAGATCAAGTCCTCTGGCTTTGCCTGGGTAATAGCACCCCAGCTAAGAAATCCCGTCGAAGACAAGAAGAATTCGTAATCGCAATTATTATTTTTGATTTTATTATTCGTAATAATTGTTTTTGGGATGACTCCTTATTGTAACTTGATAAGTATTCTCATCGGTTGTTATGAGCGTGGATTACTAGACGAAAGAAGTCTGAACTAAAATACAATTTAGAGATAGTCATTTAATCGCCTTTATAGCAGGGTATACGCTACCCCCCTACCCCAGAAACTTTACCTAGATTATAACAATATATATTGCGTACGTTGCGATACGTTCCACTACAAGGCACTGGACAGAAAAAACGCCAGAGACACGGAAGCTGTAACTGAACTATTAATTGCTACTTACATTAGATCTATGCTGACCAGTTTGCAATGAACTCAGGTGACTATTCTGTTTTATGCGTTGTATTCCTTTAATTAAAAAAAAAATGCTACAGCTTGTCGATACCATGGGCTAAGAATTGTCGAAGCAGACGGTAATTTCTGTGCTAGTGGCGATCATTTATGATTTTTGAAAGCAACCGATTTATGCATGATTTCATGAGATGACTGTTGTCTACGAAGACCAAGCTCTCGTACTTCGGCCTACATCAAAATTTTATAGGTTAAGTGCATAGTATGTCTTTATCATATGTTTTTTTTTTTGTTTATCACGCTAAGTAAAAACTTTTGTCTTTTTATTCTAAAATTGGCTTATTGGATTGCCTTATCGGGTGCCTGGCTCGTGGAATACCTAAATGTTAATTATTTTCTATCAATTACGCCTTAACTTCTAATCTTAGGAGAAACAGATCTCCGATTATAGATTATATATCTACAATAAAATTATAATATCCTAGGAAATTAAAAAATTACTTTTTTGAATTATTATACATGGGTTCGATACTGTTAATGATATGCCGTTTATTACTACTACATGTTTACTATATTCTGTTTTTCATTGTTTCGATTTGTGTATATCCTAAGGATGCGTGTTATTGTTGTTTACGGTAACTAGCTAGGAATACGCCAACTGCATCGCATTTTTTTTTGCTAATGCTATTTGTGTATTCAAAATATACTAAATATTTTGTCAATGTTTGTTAACAAACTCGAAAATAATAGGTATATAAACTAAAGTTTAGAGATAAATGTAGGAAACCGTTTCGTTTGTGAAATACTCACACTCAAATGAGTTTTTACATTTAAGTAGTGTTATTAGATCTATCATAGCATGTCTGCGTTCTGTATTTCATACAGTTAAAGAAATATCTAGTTAAGTTCTACTAGTGCAACGCATTTTTGAGTTGAAGTCTCACACCCTCGATGAAGGTCATTGGGATAGGAGGTCCTGTCATTATCTCAGTTGAATGCCCTGGGCGGTGAATTACGACTGAAAGCGTCGTTAGTAGGTTTTATGCGCGCGGTTGCCCACCGTCGAGAGTAGCAGCAGCAGCAGCAGCAGCTGCCATCTTGCCCCCTCCCTCCACCTTCTTTTCGTTCGGCACAAACGACTAGGTAGGCTCGAGCTATTGCGGGTTTGGGGCTTGAATCCGGTGCCGCTCATAACAAGGTGTAGCTGAGCAGTCTAGCCTTTCTTATGCTTTAGTTGGTCCTAGTTGTTCCCTGCTGTTGAGAACGGTGTGGCTACGTTCGATGGTGTTTGTGCATAGGATTATCCAATCTGGAGTGCGAGATAACATCCCCATTCAGAAAAATTGACCAACACAAAATATATGTCGGTTTCAACCCCGTGGATTGCACAGATACCCCGCTACGTGATCGTGCGACCAGCACAGAGGAGCGTACTTACTATATAGATCTGGAGACGCAGCCTATTGCAATATGGTCCGATTAACACAGTTTTTCTGCGCTAAAACGAAGTCGCGCGGAAGCCAAGATACGGATTTTGTGTTCGATTACACATCAGCGTTCGACTTTAAATCGGCGCACACGTTTAACACCGACAAAAAACATAAGACGGTATTCAAGTATCACGACCGCGATTATATCGTCGACATAACAGGTAGGTGGGCGTCCAGTAGGTTTTTTTGATATTGTTAGGTAGTCTATAAAATATAATGAATTATTGTTTACTAAGTGAACCCGTCTGCAAAGGTAAACACTGCTCAAATTATGTAATCAATTTTGTTTATACAATATGCTAACTTCATTTCGCCATTAGTCTCAATCTAGATTCACTCTCAACCAATTTGGGGCTATACCACCTTCGCCCAAAGTGGCGGCCCAACAAATAATCATCAAAAACCCGATGCACCTGAAAAAGTTTTGCGGTGTAAGCAGAAATGAAGAAGACTTTGTCAAATGTAAATCGAAAATTTGCATACTTCATAATCAAGTAACACATAAACACATGTGTGTTTGAAAAACAAACTGTTTCTATGTGCCAGTACGTTATATGTGCCACTCTTAATGTGCATCGTCAAGCCAGTCGTTCAAAATCAATGTAGCCTATTAATCATTAGGTATGTTTCATAACAATCAAATGTAACGTAGTAAAGATATACACACCAGGTAGGTTGCACTTTTTCTCTTAAACTAAGCGTTTGTAGAGGTTGTTACCATAGGGATTCCCCTTTCCAGTATGACCAGACAAGGATCATTAATCCTTTTTGAATGAGCCCACCAATTTAGAAGTAATTGTTTCTTTTCACCGGGATTGTGTCCTGGGATGACCGGGGCTCAAACCCTCGTCGGTGTCAGAATGTGAGCAGGAGCCGTGGCAGAGCGCTGTTTTCCGCGCGATTGTCACTGTCCTTTGCTACGTCGTACTGGTCGCTACGTTTCCGCTAACGGGATGGCTTTGCGTTAAGGTAAGCTCGCTTTGTTGTCGCATAGTGTCTATTCCAATACATAACTCCTATTTGTTATAAAATACATGACTTAGATGAGTCATGGATGTAGCATTGTTATTGTTATTGTTCGTTCGAAATCAGCTACGAAATGGACAGATGTGAATATTATATTCAATGTAATTATTCTTAGCTTAGATTTTCGTAGCTCTTCTCAAACATAAATTTAGTTTATAACATTTGGACATTTAATTAACTCGACTTATTTTTTTTTATTACTTTCCATTTTTTCACTTTTTTTTTGTTGGTTGTTCTGTTGATGAAACTTCCAGAGTGCATGCAAGTGACAGTATCTATTTGGTAAATTTTTGAAATAAAATAAAATTAGCTTCATAAATAATGTAGGCAGTCGTTTTCAGTTAGATTGCTTGATACGTGTTCATTTTACTTGTTTTTTGGAGCTTTTCCGCGGGACATCCGGCCGTCCATCCGTTTCGGGTCGCCCGTGCCAATGATTACTAGCGCGAATCAATAATAGAAGGACCCCCGTAAATACGTCGCATTGCCAAAATAGCGTAGGCAGTTCTGCTTACATTAGATGACGGCGACTATAACAGCAATCTAACTGATTACCATTATCTCTGATCTAAGTCACCTCACTACGAAATTATGATTTGATCATTTTTTTGTCTTCAGCGAGTGACATCTTTGGAGCGCATGGCGATATTCCGTTTGGGAAAACTCATGCCAGTCCAGGGACCTGGTAAGTGCTTTTCTGGTCTATGGATTCAACTATAGCAAGGAAGACCCTAAAAATATATTAAAAAAATCTGGTGGACTTCGAAAATGAGTCATTTTTGAGCTAGTTGGGCTGGAATTATGATTTCTTAGTAGGTGCTAGAGGTGCTCTGTCTGATTCTTATAGTTGTTGCAGCGCTCTGGCAACATGTGGATAGCCATATTTCTACCATTCGCGTTTCCACGTGTAATTAATCTATCTATGGCTTCTCGAAGTAAATCGATACTGGAATGTGTTTGCCCATCTCTTTAGGGCAATTGGTGGCAAGCATCGAAAGCTTCGTAATCACTGGAACCTTCTCGACTCAGTTTCTCTCCAGGATGATGCCGCTCTTTTGCCTGGTCCCTTTTTATTCCACCTTTTCAGTATTCGGTCATAATTCTGTGACCCGTTACATGTGACAGCCAATTTTGCCGACGAAGTACTTAAGATTAAAGCGTCCTCGACTGTGGCGATGCGTTCTTGTTTCTCGAGTTTTTAGATTTGGCTAGCTGCTCGCTGGTCTTCAACACTCCAATCCTGATTGTGCCTTTGTTTAAAATTTTGTTGCCTAATGTCTACACCAATGTTAGATGAATTTCCATAGCACCACCGTCTCCGCGGAACAAAGGCTCGACTACTAAGCGTTGATTTTCGAGACTATTTTTTTCTGAAACCAAGTAAACCCAACCGATATTCATCCGCTAGTTTTTAGGAGACTGGTGTGGTCACTAGCCGCACCTCGTCTGCTAGCGGAGCCACATAGTTAAAAAATTATTCAATTTTAAAGTCCGCCGGATTTGTTTGTGATACTCTAATGACAATATCTTGTCAGTTTGCTGCAAAACCTGTACTAAGGCGTACGTTTCTAGTATTATTGAAGATCTAGGTGCATACATTTGTGCATTCTACATGATTCTTTCTACATCCTTTTATGCGTCGTGCCGATGTTATGGCGTAGCCAGCCATTTGTATAACATAAGGCTTTCAAGATGCAGCTGCAAGGTACTATTCTATTTTGTTATTCCTTTAGGCAATAAACGTAAAGGTGACTGTTGTTGGACTTTGTTGATAAGGAGGGGGGCCGTCCAATATTTGAAAATATTATACAGATCGATCGAGGATTTCATGTTGGGAACGCACTCGTGCATAATTGTTTGATCTCGGAATCCTGTAAGTGTAGCAAGTTTATGAACTGTTGAAAAATATTTAAACCGTATGATTCTTTATTATCTTTCTTATCCTCAGGAATCGTCATCGTGTTTCCCGGCGTAGATAATCATCGTAAAATAGATTTGCGACCACGAACGATCGAGATTGAGCCCCGACAGGTTGGTAGAGTAAGAAGTATGTTCAGTTGCGTTTATTATTACAGAGGGTCGAGAAGAGGTAACACATATGCTTATCTTTGTCGATAATTTCTTGAACTTCTATGCTGTATCACTGCTATCCGAAAACAAAGTGTTCTGATGAATCAGAAAAAGGCTGGCTGTCAACTTGGCTTAGTAATATTTATTTCCCCTGTCGTGGCTATGTACGAGATCGAGTAATAATAGTCATGATAATAAACAGAAGAGATAGTAATAATTATCGCTTCAGCATGTAAGTACGTTTAACATATATGTACGATTGTTATTATTGTGTGGTGTTTCATATATGATTGTTATCATAGATACTATTGGGCGATGGGGCCGTGGTTGAGCTATCGTGCTCTTTGGCCTGTCAGGTGGTCAACTCGGTCCAGTACGTGACGCGTGTCCGCGAAGTTGACGCTACTATTCGGCTGCTTTGTCAACATTGTCTTTCGTCGGTTGTGTGTATCGCCGAACAAGAAGACCTTGAGAGACGCAAAGAAAGCCTGGAATCTTCTTTACTCGTAGGTTACAGAAGTTCTTGTTTTTTACCCATTGGTGGACATCATTCTGTCTGAGATCACTTCATAGCTATTCAAAGAGGCTATTTTAAAATGGATGCAAACATATATAGTGTATGCTATACTTATTTAAAAAAGCTTGAGGTCACTATGCGCTCAAAGATTTGTCCTAGATCGATGGTAGGTTTCCCATGATGTTTAGCTGTTCCTTAAAAATAAATCGGCTAATGTTACAAAGAGGAGATGAATGGGACAGGAGTCTTGAGTTTTTTTTTAGATTGCTTTATTAGGACCAGTAATTGGAATTGATAAAACCCATGAATTCCGCTAGTAGACGGGAACTAATATCTATGGGCATCTCATGCGCCTGCTCACTTGAATTGGAAGTTTCAAATTGTCGTTCTTCTATTCCAACATGCGTGGTTGCTAACAATTAGCTAAGACTTAAGGAACCGTCACGACAACAAGCGACTGGTTAACGTAAATTCATTCACGACTGCCATAACTGTAGCTCTAGTAACCATTCGAACATAAATAATCAGATCTGCTGGCAAAGTTTTAGACATGGTCAACATCGTTCAAAATTCAAGTTAGTTGATGTATCACAGAGTAGAAGAATTTACTTGATCATTTTGTTGCTGTTGTTGTTGTGCTCTTATTGATATCTTTGTAGACAAAGCTGAATGACAGTATCATCCCGTGGGGTCTCGAGGTGATCAGGGTGACCATGTAAGTATCTATGTTAGTGTCGAATGTAGCGTAATGTGCTGCAGAAGTTACAACAGCCGCGTATCGACCAAGAAGTAATAGTTTCATTTGAGATCATCATTTGTCTATCTGTACTACTAAAAATTTGTCTTCGTTTGCCTGCCTTTTTGTCGGACCTGAACGATCCGCTGAATTGGGTTGGCCTGATTTTTGTGGGTTGCTAAAGTTTCGTCTTAAGACGGCCTGCGCAGAAAGTGGAGCCGTCCGGTCAGATAATTTTCAACCTAGAGGGACAAACCATTTTGATTTTTCTTATAGAGAACAATGTAAACTTTGTTGGTTGTGGGCCAAACGCAGACCCAAGTTTGAGAGCCAATGTTGACAAACACTGATGTGGCCGCAAGGGTCGTCCGCGCATATTTATCATGAGCGTGAAAATGATCTTACATAAACAAATGTGTTTAACGCGTGTCCGATGACCATGTGTGCAAGTTATTTCTACACAAGTAGAGTGAAACTCGAAGCTCACAGGTTGAGTCTCTAGATCTAAAAGTGATGTACGTTAAACTGTGAGGCGTTATCAGAGTAATTCAAGAGACCCCACAATATTTATTTATAGGTAGGTTAAGGTTGCAGCAATTTTTCTAGCAGTTGTGAGACAAAGATTGCCAGTTCGTCAGTTTAAAAGTCCTCGTCACGAATTCAGTGGGCATCGGTGCATGTTTTATGAACAGAGATGTAATTTTTAGAGTCATAATTTAGAATCCTTTCAAATACAACTTATTGTGTTATCTTTTTAGCCAACTGGATCAGGTGATTCGTGAAGCCGAACCCGTTAATGCTATTAGTCCGTTAGTAAAAGTGTTAAAGAGCGCGCTTGGCCTAGCAGGAGATGACTATGAGGACAAACCCTCAAAACTGCTTGGCAAAATCATTGATGGAAAATCACCAAAAGGTAATAATCACTTTATTTATTTAGTACTGTGCTTTTGTTATTAGAATTTGCCGATAGCAACAAAAGCGCACATGGTTTTAGGGCTAGACATTTCAGAACCACAGATGCTTTAATACATAAGAAGCAAGCATTGAGGACTCAAAGATGCCTCGATGGCGCCTTTATATATAGGCATGTAACGTAACTCAATGAAGAGTAGACATTTCATATGTCTGCACATCTTTTTGACTTGGCAGTTAGCTAACTACAGTGTAGACGTGTATATATTACATGGGAGGCCGTTAAGTTTACACTGAATTCATCTTTATGGTCTTATTTAAAGTTAGAATGCATCTAGCTATCTGGCTTTCGCGGGAGCAATTTTCTACCATTATGAACCGATATTGGCCGAGGAATAATGTTCAAAAACTCATATAATTGTTCAGGTAGAGACTGCAAACGGCGACCCTTTGTCGTTCTGCCAGCTGAAGTTCTACTTTTAGTACATACCTGCATTTTGTGCGCTCTGAGCTTCCCGTAACCTTAATCAAATAGAAAGCACTAGAGGATTGTCTGTGGCGTGCCTGTTTGTCACTTCTAGCTGGCGCATTGCATATTGTTCCTGCAGTTCCCAACGACGGCCAGTTTACTCAACTAACGATGGTGCTTCAACAGCTGGCTATACACGCCGCTAAACATGAGGCTCTCATTGAGACCACCGCGTCCTACAAATTCTTGCTGCATGGCGCACCCGGAAGCGACGTTAAAGAGGTCTACCCCATCTGCTTGATATTTGACAAAGGTTAGTCTTGAAAATCTGTAAGTATTTATTTTGGGATCTGGCACTATTATTGGCGCCATATATGGCAGAATTGCAGGTAGCCATCTTTGTGACCCACATCTCGCACCGTAAGTCGGCCACTGAATATGCAGCTAGATTTAAATGCTACCTATTTGCCCAAGAAATCAGCTAATACATTAACTAGGCTATCTCTTCCTGTTCAAACATTAGATCGATTGTTGGGCTGATATCTATGGAGGCGATCAGTTGATACAGTCATTTTACCGCGTGCACTGCAGGTCACGCTGCATGGACCTGAACAGCCGAAACAAAAGATTCCCATTTGTATTACATCCATTTTCCAAGTGGCCAAAGAAAATGAAGTCTAATGTTTTTTGCGTCGTTTTGAACCGTTATTAATAGTATTACAAAGTTTAAAGTGAGGCAGCTCTTTCATATCCTAACAAATCCCCCGAGCCTTTTTAATATCCGGTACTGATCACAGCCAGTAGTAATACTGTACCAGCATTGATATATTCAAGTAGCACTACTGTGAAGCTCATGTGAAATCTACATCACTGTCTTTAATGCCATCTCTAATGTATACAGGTGATTAGAGGTTGTGCGGGGAACAACACCCAATCATGTTAAAAGCGTGTTTCCTAACCGGGCAATATTTCTACGCAATCGAAAACTTGTGCCGATTCACTGTCTGCTTTTTGCGCTCATTCGGAGCATAGCTTCTGGTTCTAATTGAGAGTTTGAAAGTGACTAAAGTTCTACTCTGACCGACCTAGCTTATAACAGAGTCTTACCCAGCTCGTTCTATCATATTACTCAAAGTTGTTGTTGTTAGATTTGTTTCTTTACTATATAGCGTAAACTGTGTGTAGGCAAATAATTTCTAATTTATTATTTAGGTAACGTCGATGTGAAATCTGGTTCTACGGAAGTGGACGCCATAAAGCCAGATGTTACTCTGGAAATGACCTCCGACGACCTAACTCTCATCGTACTTGGCAAGATGTCACCACTAAAGGGATACATGGGCGGAAAGATTAGCGTTAAAGGTGACTGGAATTTACTAAAAAAGTTCATTCAGGTTGTACAGGGAAAGTAGATTTAAAGACGTGTGTGTTACAGTGACATAATAATATAGAAGGCAGTTATCTTTGTGGTGAACCCTAAATTATTCGCACAGAAACAAATTGTATACAAGCTTAATTTATAAAACATAGGAGATGTGTATGCTGTAACTAAGCGTCAACGTGTGATCGCAAACGTGCTAATATTTCGAATATTTTACGTCGCACCAGTTTGTTATCTATGTACGTTACCGTCTTAGCTGGTGACTCCATGTACTCAACCAAGTTACAATCTAAAGTTTTTTGTACTACTATCTGTCTCATCGAACTATTGGTATTTCTCATTATTAAAAAACTTACTCGTACAAAAGATGCATTATCAATATGAAAATAAAGAAAGCAGCCAGTTTATAGAAACGTTCGTTAAACGTGGTAGTTCTTACAGCAAAAATTTATCTTGGGCTAAAGCTCACGGGAATTAGCAAGTGCGTTAATGGCATTGGCTTTTCTATAAAGGACATAAGAACACACTTGATCAACAAGCGAATCGATGCTGATAGTTCAATAGGTATACAGAACCTGAAAATAGAGCCATATCTATGTATTGGGCCACTTTGACGATCCTTTAGTTCGTCCAGTGTTATTATTACGGCTTCTACGATCATCTACGCCTTCGCGTGGGTCATCTTCATTATCTATGCCCATTTTCCCACATGCTTAGCTCATTGCGCACATCGCATTGCGTCTCCGAGTGTTGACTATGTCGCTGACCGATTGTTTTAGCCTTGGGGCTTACGTATACAGTATATAAAAGTGACGAAAAGTGTTTCGAACCGAAGATTCGAAAGCCGGAAGCAGTATTCCAGCAAAGTATTCTTCCCCATAAGATATTGAAATCGAACACATTTTTTTAGTGAGCACGGTAGCATGGCTAACGAGAAAATTCGTGTCGTTTCAATCGCGGGATTTGTTTGAAACTTGAACGATGCAAGGCGTTTCATCACCGAGGCATTACTGAGCACTTAAGAAGGCCCAGGAAGGTCAAATAGTACCAGAGCGTGCAAAATTAAGAGAACATCGCTCGTTGGGCCAAGATACTATGAGTCGAATGCTAAAGTATGGAATTTGATGAAGTTAACAATACGTGATGTGTGAATATAAATTACGTTGTTTTATTTTTAGATAGATATGAACCTGTTTTACGCGCTGAGCACCCTTATACGCTTCTGTGTGAGCAATATTACGATCTCAATACCTCTGACCGAAGATCTGACAAAGACTGAATAAGCAAACAGAGACTAAGCTTGTGAAAAAACCAGAAAAGTCCAGGGATTTAATCTTGCGACACGGTAATTTTCTCCAGCATCATTATTTACTCAGTCGAGAGACAATTACGGAATCCCTAAGCCGCACAAACCACAAGGAGAGAACTGAAATTTTTAAATACGATTTAGAAAATTACTTCACATTCAGTCACTGTCATAGAAAAAATATTTTCCAATTTATGCGGACAGATAGACACAACATGTTTACAGAACAGTAATCATCGTATAATACCTATATGCTGTACAAAAATATTACGGACGCAAAAACGCAAATGGTTATTCATTCTGTTCTTCACTCGAGAGAATCGTCTTAGGGCAATCTGTAATTAAGGGTAATGATACTGGAATTAAAGTTTTACGTTGCTATATTATTCAGCCAGCCATTTCGAGGCGAGAAAGGAAAAACAATAATGCTAGCTAAGTAAATCTATAAACTCATTATACAACGCATGCGTCTGAACACAGTGCGACAACACATCAAAAAGAAGAACTACGATAATGAAGACTGTAAATGAGACTTGATAATTGGAATAAGAATAATTGAACAGCTAGAACATGGATAAGATATCTATAGTACAATAGAAGCCATCATTCTTTCGAAAAATTACGCTGACGATGACGCAAAAATGCCGCGGATCTTCATGTTATGACCGCTATTAGCGGCGTCCGTCTGTGATGCATTTTATAGGACTCGCAGTTAATAAATGATTACATGGCTTGCGTTTTCTTATCATGACAGTTAGTTGTTTATTTTATATAACAGAGGCGTATTTGAATAATGGGTGAAATGTATTTGTGATAATTCTCTATATCGATGTGCCACGGGTTTCAATTTATCGAAAATATAGAGTATATGTTTTTCAGGGGCAAGGTAGCTCGGTTTGGACTATGCTGATAACGCGGTTGTACAGACAGTTATAAAACATGCCTTAAAAATGAGATCAGTAAGCTAACTGTGAATATGTTTATTTCAACCACCATTCATTGCGTGGGGCAAAACATTATTATCTTTAAATTGTGAGATGCGGTTTTCAGCCATTGTAACCTCTCAAACAGAAATGCTTACCGGGCTTTGGGTGCCTGTTTTGATGATTTTGTTCCATAAAGAAGTTCAATACACTGTTAGGGTGTAGATTACTTAGGTTAAAGAAAATAGGATCTTTTTGTTTTTCTTACCTCCACAGCTTCGATTTCGCTGCCTTCTAGCTGGTTATCAAACTTGTTTCGTAATCGGTTAGTGATATATACAACGAGTACCAATAGGGCAGACTGATTATTCGTACAATGAGTAATTTCCAATGATTTTTTTTATTCAAAACCAAGTTAGCAACGCAGTCCATATGGAACAAATTACTACACATGACAACAACCGTTTTCCCTAGCGTTCGTAAACAAGTTCTACATCTCTAGTTTGCCTTGGACAGAGAGTCTACGATATCTCTTTCCGAAACACTTCAAACGCGTGACATAGGTCCATGTTGAAAAACCTACAAAAAAATGATACAGCGTTTGGCGATCGTTATCCCATACTGTTCTATATCATGGCGCATTGAACTCGAACAGTATGAGAAACGTTTTAAGGTTCATTAATTGGCGGAGAGAAGCTGGCAGATGCAGAGCTGATTAGCATCATAGATTTCAGCTAGACATTGTCCATTAAAGTCAGCGTAGTGCCATAGTGGCGTGTAGAAAAAGTTATTAACGGGTATATGATACATGTACTATGCTAATGTGCGTGGAGACGAAATAACGATGAAAAACGATCTCTTGTGTAATTAAGGGTTGAATAGAGCGTGTCCTAACTAGGCATTAGAGCCGATTGCAGGGACTGCAGCGGTGACGATGTATTTCACGTATATGCTGTGACGACAGCCATTCAAATAGCTGAAAAATGGGATTTGTTTTCCATAATGGCAGACGCCGACGCTTCGATTAAGATTGAGTTTCGAAATTGTGCAGCGTCGTCTTATACACACCATAGCGCTATTTACGAATTCTACCCTAGAAATAGATCTTGCCCTGCTATTTCATCTGCCGACAATAACTTGATAGTTTTCTTGAATATTGTAAATAAAGTTCGGAATAGAATAATAATGGAACAAACTATTTTATGGGTTTCTTTCGACACTCGGTGTTTGAACCAAATTTGATATATTTAACTGCTGTAGCTCTTCATTTAATTTCGAAATTTGTATTGCACTAAGTGGAATATCAGAGCAATTTGTTTTCATCCACTGAGATTATTTACAGTTTTACTGCAGGGTTCCCAAATCAATTCCAAAATTCGGTCGTGAAAATACGCCTCTAGATCAAAAGTCTTTTGTGAACGCTATATTTTCTTATCCTCGTGCAGATATGCCCACAAGATCTATCATACTATCCATTTGGGTCAAAAGGGTGGACTCATTAAGCTCTCTGGCATTTTCGATTCGGTAGGAACGGGACAACGACTAACCGTCATGTGCCAACTTGGATTATGCCCCACAAATTATTGAAATGTTGGTAGATAGATATCTTTTAGATATTCCTCATAATAATATTCTGTATTAAGACTAAAGTGTTCCGCGTATCAATTGTTTTATTAGTTGTTCATACAAATGGGCTTTGATTATAAAATTCGATTACTGCAGATATAAGCGGTTAAAATCTCGACTTAGTAAAAAGCTACTAGTTAAGCAATAGTATTCTACATAAAGTATATGTGCTTTTAGGGACCAATTCTCGGTAACCGAATTTACATAGCACTTCTTTCAGGACCGATTTTCATCCGTAGCCCTGCATTACAAAAATACATTTTAACTATTGTTAGTGTTAAAATCAGAAACGGTTAGTATTTTTTTCGTGTAATTTCTTGTAATTTTCATTACCTCAAAACACTGGCGGGAATCCTCGTATATACTAAAAAACACATGTCTTTTTTAACATAAAGGTAAAGTTGTTTTTAAAAGTGCATGAACTTCATATCAGTCGCATTCCTGATTACGTTCAGCATTTTTGCATGAATTCCCAATCGTAACGTCACAAACTTTATTCATTGAAAAGTATTAGCCGTTTTCTATGCTAAAATTGAAGCATATATATATATATATATATTCACAGTTTTGATCAATGACCCTCAGTCGTTATTCTGGCCACGCCATAATACCATCACTGTAGAGTTTCTGAGCAAAACATTGGGACAACGAATTTTAGCATCACTCTATTGTATTAAATCTAAATTAATATTATTAAGGGTGTTTTGCAGAGACCGAGACTGATTAGAGTTGGATTGTGCAAGATTCGGGCTTCGAATTGTAATTAAATCTTCCTTGCAAACTGGGTCGCTAAAGATGTATGTGATCCTGTATTATCATGGTGGAAAACAACGCTCTTTCTTTTCACTAGCTGAATTCGGTGGATTTTTTCAATAGCTTGTTGTAATTTGCTTTTTTGTTTTTTTGAGCGGTAGCAGCTCATGATACGCGATCCTTTTTCAGTCCCACCAAATACATCTCATCGTCAATCTAGGCTTTGCTACAGGTAATAGAGCACATTTTAAAAAATGTTTATGTTTGCACATTATTTTTGTTGTATGTTATCTATTTTTCATCAACCGGATTAGAAATGGCATTTTTGTAGAGGTAAAAATACAATCCGGTTATGTTTTTGCGTCGATCAGTGTGGCACGCAAACATCGAGCAGCATTTTTTTATCGTTAGTTTTTTTCAGTTTGTTTGAAACTTTTTTATGGTAGACATTTAGAACCTTAGCGATATGGCTTCTCACGTATCTGTCTTGCTCAACTTTCGCAATAATTTCATTAGCTTTTTATAATGAATCAAGCACGACGAGAGGCATCTCCTGCATCAAAATTTGTAGACTTTAAGCGACAGTGCTATCTTCAGTCAATTTCTTCTGATAGCGCATTTTGACTTTAATCAGTACAATATTTTATACACCTGCACAGTGTTTGTAATATAAAATTGTAATATAAAGTAAATGTTTGCAGAAATTTTACTTATTTTTAAAGCACTTAATTTTAAGTCTGAACACAGTTGTACGTGCTGTAAGCATAGTACACAACTTAGACTTTAAATGACGCCAACGCCGATCCGACGTAACTTATAGAACCTAAGGTATGTAAATTTAAAGGCACACAGTAAAAAAAAAACGGCCAGTACTCTTTTTAACAGCCTAATATAAATGTGTGATCATTTCAAGAGGCCTGAGATAAAACCACATCCAGTTTGTTTAAGCAAAGGCAGGCCAGTGTACGTGAATAACTGTAGTAACGGTAGGATTGGAAAACGGTATTCAAAATCGTCTAGTTCATGGAGTAACAACGTTTAAGGTTTCGACGAAACAAACTTAAAAGTTTAATGTTTATGCAGTAGTTACACTGCATAGATGATAGTGTATTGATTGCATCACTCAATAATGAACTGTGTAAAAAAGTCGCTGCTGGACGCTACTTCAAAAAAGTGACCAAATACTTAGAAGGGCATGCATCGAGGTTGAAGAAGCTCTGTGTAATTATTTCTAGGCCCGACATATCGTCTGAGGCTCTGTAAGGTGTTCTAAAAATGTTGAAAGAAATCTATAATTTGGCAGTAGGTTAAGAAATAATGATTATGTTCATAGAGACCTATGTACACTCCGTTAGTAGTGAATATTTCTCAAACATGTACACAGTAAATTATTTCACTCATTCTTCGATACTCATCTAATATTTAATTATTGTTATTAACACTAATCCCAGTGTCTTAGTACAGTGGGAAACATCGGCTACTCGTATAAAATAATAAGCTAATTCGGATAGTTTACGTTACGAAGTTTTCGTTGAGAGCTGTACCTTGAGGCAAATAAACCTCTTAAATTTGTCTGCCAATTTAGCAGTCAATGACATGATTGACGATTGTTATATGCGCCCTATACAGGATAGGGCTGCAATAAGTTTTTGTCTGCGAGGAAAAATCCATAGCGGACGCTTTTGCGTATCGAAAATGTTGAAGGTTTGACATTTTCAAAAGTACTGTTCCGTTTGTTTAGAAAGAGCTAGATTGTCTTACCGCATAAACAGAACCTACATTGCATACATTACAGCATACAGAACTGTAGTTGAGGAATATCGCACAACGAAACAATTTTGTGTAATTTTTCTAAAATTTCGTGTGATTTGTGTTATTGAATTTTTCCTTTCGCCAAACCTTAAAAAATACGGCTATGGTGGATAGTTAGAATTTTTTTTTTCGCATTTCATCAGCCTCTGTGGTAGGATAAAGAACTAGAATAATCACCTTGTCTTTTTACCACAGTTTTGCCTACCTCAAAACTATATTATCGAAGGTAAGTTGCAAGTAAATTACGGGTTGGAAAAGTCGCTACACTGAGTTATAGAGCATAATCACCCGGGAGGGGAAGCTAATATGGATCATGGGCTATATGATCCACTATATTTCGAGCACGTGTTAAATTAAACATAAAAATTGAAAAAACCGAGTGGCATGACAGTTCTACTCAGCTCAGCAAAAGGGAATATACATATATTTATAGATCCAATTGTATCGCATGTCGTTGCTGTGAACATATGGCTATTTTTGAAGGTAATATTGTGGACTCTTTCATTAGCGTAACAGAGATAAAATTATGTTAAAGTCATTGTAAATAATCACGATATCGAAACAGTATTTATATTGACAATCACAATAGGCTTCATTAGGGTTAAGCTGATGTTGAAGAGCGTTACGCATATCGTTATTATTTTTCCCCATTTATTGAACCAGGTGTATCTCGTATATGGGCCAATACGTGAGCCATTTAAGTCCCGGTTTCACACATCGCAGCAGACCTATGACTTATGAGACCTAACCTACCTGACTTGACAGTAAACGATTATAAAGCATCGTCTTCTTTAACCATAATTACGGTCCTTTATCAGGTAGAAAGGCATTTTTCCCTTGCCCTTGTCGAATGACTGACTTCTCTACACAAAATAGTTAGTGCCTTTCTTAAAGCCACCTCTAGCCTATCTACCCATACCTTTTGGGTCTATATGGTCCAGGTAGATAGAACTCCTCAGTTTCTGTATTCTTGAAAGTCGATGAATAGTCACGAGCCCATTTAGGCAACACAATAAAAGAACTTTCGATAAGTATGCTATTTTGTTTTTTTTTCGCTTCGTTTGCACCACCTTGTTTTCAACAATAGCCTCAAGCAAAGTTCGCCCCATATAGTTCCATTCCATTCTATATAAGCAAACGTACAATGATGACCTACGGTGCCTGTTACGTTTTTTATCGAGCAAATGTTTCGAGCTTACTTTACGTAATTACGATAGAATACATGCCTGCAAACTTTGCTAGAGCTGGAACTGCCGGAGGATAAAGAACCACATAAGTTAACATTGGCTACAGCATTGTTGAGATGTGGATTAAACTTTTCCCTTGCATGACACTAGGTTAGGATTTCTTTCATCGCCATCATAGGCTCTGTCCTGGCTGTCTGAAATGTCTGGGTGGGAGTCGGCAGGAGCGACAGCGACAACTCTTACAATAATACAATTAAGAGATGGATAACCTTGCTAGACATGACAATGTTATAAGTAACCATGGCGGGTTTGAAAATACGCGCATAATTATTTGTTAGTTCGTAAAAAATAATTTTTACAAAGGTGACTTATTGAACAAATTTCCAAAATCCCTCATCCGATTTTTCCTTTAAAGTAGTTATTGACAGCTGGCTGCTTCAAGGTTCCTCAATACTATACAACAACTTGTGTGAATATAAAGACAGAGAAATCCGTCATGTTAGTATCAAAAATAAGGCACGACTTCGATCAACCATCTATCACAATCGCTGTGGAAATTGACAATGCCGGATCCAACAACATTATTACTGCAGTAACGCATCTAATAGCAAGATTACTATCGTATTCCAGCGGCCCTGACGATCCATTGCTGCCCAGACAGCCAGAACCCCCGGCACTTCCGGTGGGCCAACGAGGAAAAACGGCATGTAAGCTGATATTGTCAGTGAAAGGATCTCAGAACTCATGCCCATATGAACCTAAAAATAAATCAGAGTTGTATCGTACTTGGGCTTAGTAAAAAAAATGACCGATGCCACAATCTTCGGATTGTTTTCAAGTGACCTGTTATAAGTGAGCAAAGAAGGAAACATTAATCCCACTTTTTAAAACGTCCCCTCGTATAATGGTGCAAAACTCGGGGCATTTTTTTTTTCGAGATATACTTGTATTCTTTGTAATCTAAGGCCGCTCACTCGTATCTCGTCACATGGGCAGGCAACTTGCATGCGTTGAATATGGTATATATAAATAGCATAGACCTGTAGAACGTGAGAGCCAGAGAAAATAAGAAAATTCAACTAGTTTACAAATATGCGTTTCTTATATGAACAACGTCGACAGATATAGTTTTCCGTGTAAACTTGATGTTTCTTGAAGAGTCTACTACCAGAAGCAGCGTAGACTGAATAGGTGAATGTAGTTGAAACGGCGAGACATTACCCTAAAGCAAATGTATGGCTGTGATAGCTTATGATGTCTATCTGGGGAACTCTCGAGGATGTAGTGGGACTACATCCCGCTACATCCTCGGGAGTTCAACTCTGTTGAGTGAAGTAGATAACAAACAAATTTCGTGTGAAGCAATCAGGATTAACGGACCAAGTTAAACTGTTGTTATTGCATGACAACAAATAACCTCACACCACAAAGACCATGGTGGCGAAAATCAAGGAGTTCCAATTGGGGACTTTTTCTCTTCCACCTAACCCGTCAAGCGTTGCGTATGCAGATTAGTATTTTTTCCAAATCTCAACAATGCTTATAATATTCAACTTACAATACTCGAAGTTCAGCTAGCTCTGGAAATTGCCTTTCGAAATTTTACCGACCCTCGTACCTCAGACTTCCACAGCAACAGAATACCATCTAAATGGCAGAGGGTACTAATTAATGAGGGTACGTACCTGGATTGAAAATAAAGAACGGTGCTTGTAAAAAAATTTGACAACCTCAGAGTTTGCCATTTCGCATTTTCTAGTGAACGACCCAATATTCAATGATTACAATATTTAAATTGGGTAGCTCACCCCTACGCTGTTCCTATCGGTATCACTAGGCCAATTCATCATTAACAATTATGCTACTGATGCCCCTCGATACTACTAAGCATTTGTTTAGACCATACCATTAGGTTAACATAGTCGATATAATAACTTCGGTAAGTGTTCTTCAAATTTCGGCCAACAGGAAATATTTGTTCACTATCTTTGACGTCAATCATACCTGAATTGATTGTTGAGATAAATTTGTAAGTTTATGGTCAATCAATGCGAACTCGGCCAAAGGGTATCCTGCTTATAAATCGCGTCACGCTGAGAAATTGTGTTTCTTGTATAGCCACCAGATAGTACATGTAGCTATCTCTCGTTAACAACATCTAGTGAACATTATTCCTGTTAATTGTTTCCATACGTGGTAGCTGTTTCATAACTAGCTGACATTCAGTAAGTTGAGTTTCAGACCAACTTTAACTGACTCGATCGAACTCGAACGAGCGCAATAGTACCTTAATGATCAAGCAAAGTTATGTTTTAATTGGACATTCAATTAATCATCGTTGTAAAACTCTCAAGCGATCATACTTTGGGCCTGTATTTCGTAACCTTAGATGTTTACTGTGCGGTTCTATTTTCGATTATCCCCCCCCCCCCCCCCCCTATGAACCGTTCACGACAATGTGGTTTTTTCGATGTAAAGTTTGGGTTCCCGTCAGATCTTTGTCCGTAGTTTTTCGATGACCTTATTTGGTCACCCGTTTCAACTTCGTTGAATTCGTATACAATGCAATAAGTATCCTGGTAGATTGCTAACGTCTCGTGCATCTTTCCATCGCTTCCTTACATAACATAGTGTGATAGCCATTAACTTTAACAAAGCAATTTATAGAACCAATTATAATTAACTGTGCTTCAGACTTCAATACGCGCAAATTATACATATTCTAAATTTCAGAATTTGTTAATGCTAAAATAATGGCAATCTCGATCGGAAGTGCATACAGTTTTTCGTTTACGAGGTTTTTCCTTACATTTATTTGTTTTTTTTTTTTTTTTTTTTGATATCATCACGACGTTACCCGTTGCCTTTCGTTGTTTAGAATAGATTTCCGGACGTAATACTCTTATATACTTTAAAAGAAATCCTATATTATTAAAAAAAAAAAAACAACATTTTCCTTTTTCTGACTAAAATATTTCGAATATTAGCGCGTTACACTCTATCTACATCTAGTCGCTTATTTTCTTCCAAGTTACATGGCTCGTCTGGAATACAGTTTCTACTATAAACGCTGTCAGGCAGGTAATAAATACCGTTAGCCACAATAGCAACATTTCAACGTGTAAAACAAGTGATTCAATATATTTGAAGCTGTTTAGTGAAATAGTGAACTATTTTAAAGCAAGGTATATAATGTATTTTAGTACAGCATCCACTAGAAACGTCGCCTCACTCAAATATAACTTCTTGCTGAATACAAAACAAACGATTGTATCCGTTTTACAATAGTAGTAACTAGAAAGGATGAGACAAGGTATCCAGGACATCGTTTTCGCACAAGTCTCCAATGGGGCAGCCAATGCAAATACCACCATGCCAAGTGAGAAGGGCATAACCAGAGGTATTGCTGACGTCGTATGATACGACTTTCCAATGAATTCCGCAACTGGTATCGGAACGCTAAAGCGTCGTCCTCTTTTACAAGATGTTATCAACTGTTAACGTCTTAATGCTGGTTTATGTGTGTTGGTGATGATCCTTGCATAAGTACATGATGCCCATAGACTAGGTAACTAATGGGCAGAATGTCCTTCACATTATAGATCACTACTATGAGAACTGTCCACTTAAAATATAATACAGTTAAGTAACAGAAAGCTCTACCTATTAGCACTTACGTATTGCGAAATACATAATGACATCACTATTTTTTCGCTTGGCTTACGGCGGCCTTTCCCTTAATGATATTGTTAACTGTGCTAAATCAAGAAGCATCATGGCTAGTAACCATAATTCGAACTACGGTAGAGCTTAGATTAGACAAAAAAAAAACAAAGGTCTGATAATTTTTCCGTTTTCCCCTAGTAAAAATCGAATATTAGACGCATGCGCACCGTACTTTTTGCGAATTCAAGGCATTCCGACTATAGGCGCGCAACTCATTAATCGACTCAACTGACGCGTATGACCTATAAATAAAAATTCGTATCTATATAAAAGTAGGTGATTATCTAAAAGATCAGTAGCCAGGTTTTAACGATTCTAAATTTCAGCACCAGCAGCAGCTTAGTTCCCCCAAAAGCGTCCACCGAATTAGTGAACCGTTTAAAAAGACAGTAATAGTCGGGAAATAGGGGCAAATAATACACGTTTTATATAGAAACAAATTGTCATTTAGAGGTTGCGCGATTTAAGCCACAAACAAAAAAAAATATAAAGTGTATACACAAGCACAGTATCTTTTAATGGGCCACCAGGCCCCATTGTAAAAAAAAGGTTACTTGTAGAACTTTGTTAAATTTTTTTTCTCTTTGAAGGTGTATGTCCTTGGTCATCCTTGCAAACATTTTCGCATCATTGCTAATTGATGGCACATTCATGTCTATAATAAAATTCTTCAGGTATTTATAGGTAACTATTTCTCTAAGTCATCACTGGCATCACCATTCTGCCAACGGTCCACACTTGGAACAAGGGATAGCTCATAAACTCAGGATGTATTGGTTTGGGAAAGCGTTGTCCTTACCACACAAGCATCTATATAAACCTACGTGGAGCGTCCCGCCTTATATGCTACTCGGACAACAAACTTGTTCTAAGGCAGTAAATTATCGACGACCTTACTTAGGGTTAGTGGAAACCAGTGCTTCAAAAGGTTGCTAGTACATTGTTTTTAGAAGTAGTTGTAGTAGCGGTTACTCTATTTCCTATCTGCATTACTAGCAAACATTACATGTATATAGATACCGACACGTAGATGTTTTTACCATTGCAGACGTTTCGCAAAATTAAGGGGGCATGCTGACACAACATCAAGCCATGCCAGCCATTGTTCCTGGAGACGAAAAAACTTTTCAAAGGATACGTGAGGCTAAAAAATTCTTGCTACCCGCAAGAACCTGTTCTGCTTCGGTTACCTTCAAGGTTTCGCCAGGGAACTCTATGGATGGTTTTCGCTGGAGTGAGGCCAGCAGCATTTGCTTTACCTATCCTTACAAGGTGGGCTTTGCAAGGTATTTCATCGCTTACCTCAATCCGAGAAGAAGTTATTTGTTTGAACTATTATACATAATCTCGCTAAATAGTTAACTTTCACCACTTTTAGGCCAGTCAGTTAAAAGTGGAATAAAATGCATCAACCCACTAATGGGATACGAAATTCCACATGAATAGCTGTTCGTGCCGCGCCCATCTATCCGAAGTCTTAGCCCGACCCGTTGGATTTACCCTGTTGTATACGGAGGTGGACTCGTATCTGGTGACAACGTGTGCCTCATTCTTACGTGTTGCAAAGCTACCTCAGTCCTCGTAACATCACAAGCCTTTAACAAGGTAACTGACTACCTTCATACATATATATAAAGTTGTCAGTTTTTAAGCCTAAATTGAAGCACCATTGTTTATGTTCTATAATAACATTTAAGTGAAATATGCGCCATTTTAGCCGATGATTTTTCACCATTTTGCTGGTAGACCATAGTTTTGTTATTGTAGAACTTCTTTGGTTTTTGGGTGAAAAATTGAAACAAGGGATCTTTGCATCTTATTAAGACTAACACCATTAAGGGAGTTATTTAAAGACCGAAACAGACGATAGTACGACGGTGCACGATCCGAGCTATACAGAGCACGTATCGAAATTTTCTGTTTAAATTCTTTAGATTTATTGTCTGATAGCATTATTTATATGACGTAAAATAACACCTTCCTTGCCCACGAGTTCCAATCTAGTTTTTCAATCTTGTTTCTATATCTTAGTTGGACATTATCATTTTTGTTGTTTGTGGTAGATTTTTCATTAGCCATTAGCAGCCTCTTCAAATTTGGCTTTATTTAGTTGTGTTTCTCTTAAGTTTTCCAGGTGAAGAGTAACTTCTTTTGTGTCAATTCATGTGGCATCCAAATATCGACTTTTGTTTTGTAGCCAGTTTTCTCCAAACGGCTAGAAACTATTTGCTGATAGAAGTAGTTCGCTGGCGGTATCATGGTTACTTACGTGTACTCAGTCTTTATGCAACTCATATCACCTTAGAAATATGCCCTTGAAAACGGACGATTTTTTCTGCTACACATATATATACAGAGTACGGGCTAGCTGGTGTGCACTCTGCAGCCAGAAACAAGCCTGTTCTTTCTAGAAGACGAGACGAAAAATCTACATAGCGCGTCGTTTTCGCACTTTGAGAGAAAATGAGCTATTATCTAATTTTCTTGTGCTGAACGAATCCCATCAAGCTTTTCCTTTTCGGAAGCGATGGTCTATATTTCTGCCTGTTTTCGTACGGCTTCTAAAAAAGCCCAGAGAGATTTTTGGAACAAGCTAGAAAATCGTCGATAGGCTTCAATTTTGAGAAGTTTAAAAGTTCGTAAAAATGGCTTTAAAAACCGTCTTGGATATGGAAATTAACAACCGTTTTCGAGAGAAAAATATCAGTTGTCTATTGGAGAGTCTAGATAAACTGCAACGTTCAGCCTTTATAGGACTTTCTGCACCGTTTTGTGCCCTTCTATTTGTGTAGTTTTGAGCCTCTTGTCAGGCCAAAATTTAATTCCACTGGAATTGTTTGTATGTAGGACACGATTTTAATGTGTTTATACACAAAATTTTGGTCGACGCACAATTGCTAATAAGAATATATTTGTAAAAAAATAATTTATGAAAAAAAAACGGAATATTGTAGGAATGGCTAATGAGTGGGTCGAATCCCGAATTTAGGCTTCCGGGTGAATGGTGGTCATACCGAATAAACCTGAACGTGAGGAATGACACTTATACGTCGCCCATAAGAATTGGAAGATATTTATTTCTATTTAGAAACAGTGCTTTAGAAATAAACCATAAAAAAATCCTAGTTTACATGGCCTACTTTGTATAGATATATATAAATCTTCTCTAATAACCTGTGACTTGTTTGTAGCCTATCTATAAATTAAAAGCGTATTAGAATAAAATATTTGCTTATGCCAGTAGGAACAAACACGGCTATTCAATGTAATCGCTATTTGTTTTGATCACGGACATCTTGAAGGGTTTTTAAGCATTACCCGGAGTAAAGCGATATTCGTACGCGTGTACCTACCGAAGCACAGCTCAAATATGCAATACGTAGAAAAAAACTGGCGAAACTAAACCCCTTTTTTTCCATCATAATTAGGTTAACGTTTTGCCTTTTATCAATTTCAAACCGTCATAAAGTTTCTCGAGTACACACAATACGATGAGCATATAACAACTGGCAATGCTTGTCATTATATTCAATATATACCGTCACTTAGGATTTCCTTCTATGTTCGAAACGAGACATGTGTTTTTTGATTATGATTCATACGAATTAGGTGTGCCAAATCATAAAACGCATACTATTGTAGGCTTTGCCTTTCAAAAAGCATACTGAAAAATACAATGACTATAAGTTGCATGAACGAAACGGCCATATTGCGAGCGCTGCACAATAAGTTGTGCCTTCAATAAGCTTTTCTTTCGATAATTGCACTGTTTTGTATGCATAATGGAAGACAGAACTTTTTCCCTCAATATGTTTCTGAAACGAAGTAAAATATGGTTCAATGAGAGGACCTGTCCAGGGGCCGCCATATACATGCACTTTAATTTCTAAGAGCGGTTTTTCGTAGATGCTGTGACAGGGTCAGCTATCGAGTCGAATGAGTTTGAGCGTCGGCTAGGTCTTAGAGAACCGGAGCCCGCACGCCAGGTTGTACCAAGCGACACAACCAACCGTTGCTATCGGCTAGAAATTAGAGTGTACGAATTCCTTGACATGTACTCATTTCCTGCATTAATGGCTTCCGTATGGACTCTCAGCACGCAGCACATAGACGCGAAGCGCTAGGTTTAACCTTGGCTGTTTTAAAACATTCTAAAAATGCCTCGGAAGCTACAGCATTCTTACCGTCGTGGTTGACAGATCTTCGAATCATTCTTCTAGAAAAATCGTCCTTCGAGTCCTGTCTGCAGTGAAACCGCATTCTTTGCTCACTTCTGTGAACAGTATTTTGTTTGCATCCGTGATTTGGTTATGGCGCAAATATGTGCCCAAGTTGATATTTTGGGAATGGATATATGTATATATATATATATATATATAAATAAAATATTTGTTGTAGAAGTCTGTAACCCGCAGTTCCTTACGTATTCTAATAGTAATATAACACGATAATTATTGCAGTTCAAATGAAAAGAAGATCTATCTAACTTCAGTATTCTGACGTATGGTGCTGCGAGTCAGTACGGTTATATCAGCTTTGGTCAATAAGGGCATGAGGTGGAAAGTCCATAACTTCAAGCTTCATAATTGTATCTATTTTATTAGGTGTACAAGGCCAAAGCGAACCAGATTACACGGCAGACTAATCACTTCGAGATACGTCAGGGGGCCCTTCTATCCGTCTTGCCGGATTTCATTGTCTGCTATGCCGGTGCCAACTATAGGTATATTACTAAAAGAATTGCCCATGTGCTCCATAATTTTAGTTAAGATCTATAATCTTAATCAGTACGAAAAGTATGCGAATTAATAGAAGCTGCTTATTATGTTTCCTTCAGCCAAGAGCAAACAATTTACCTAGACAATTCCGATTCAAACCTCATCTATTTGGATTGGTACTGCTCGGGACGAGTTGCTAATCAAGAACAATGGCGCTTCAACTACCTCAGTTCTTCTCTAAAGGTGTATCTTGGCGATGAACTAATTCTGCGTGAAGCCACCATCTTAGAGAACTTCGAGGATTTGACCATCGCCGACCGGATGTACCAATTCGAAGTCTTCGGCATTCTCGTTCTCTACGGCAGATCAGAAGTTGTGCGTGATCTTCAAGGCAGAGTTTTCACCGAGCTGTCGGCAAGGTACACCCGCTATTCCTTATTTGATCCTTTAACTCATGTTGATATCAAAAAAACTTCATTCTTCACACTTAGTTAATAAATAAAGATCATCCATAATTAATTATGCGGTTATGGTCTTCCAATTGTATTTAGTGAAACACTATATTTACTCTGATATCTATATTTCATAGTACATGCATCACCATTTCATGAAAAACAGTCTCTAACTTAATATCAACGCAAGATCTGGATAACTTTAAATGAAACATTTCGTGTTGACCTTCATGTTATATTCTTAGGTATCCAGTTTTGCATTTTTCTAGACAGTAGCTCACGGGTCATAGTTAAATGTCAGCGTATACAGACAGGGTTTCGCCTATTAAACTTACCTTAGTAATAACTTTATTTCAGGGAGGACTTTGGAATAATTCCTGAACGAGAAAACTTGTTCTGTACCTCCCTGACAGCCGACAACGTCCGCGTCGTGCGGTTCATTTGCGCAGATTCTCGAGCGGCGTACGAGAAGGTTGATCGTCTTCTTTCTCCACTATACAAACTCTATGGAGGTAGTCCGTTCTACAACAAATATTGAAAGGTAAACGGGAGCTACTCGACACTCATATATGATACAACAAAAATTACCTTAATCAACAAAGTATTGTCACTATGTTTATACAAGTAATATGTTTGTGTATACTTGTGTACAGAAAGTATATTTGTAACAACTATTATATATAGGGTATGGATTAAACTTTGATGCTTATATATATATATATATATAGACCGATTTCGCGCTCTTTTAAGAACTTGTTTGGCTGGTATACAATAGTTTGCCAACAACACCTACAGATAACTGTGTCTTTACTATTTATATTTAAAACAAACCTCTAGCCTCATGGTCATAATAGCCCTACTGGAACAAAGGTGTTTAGGAAATGAACAGCAAACTGAAACTAAATAATTTAACGTAGATGATAACAAAGTCAGTAAAAAAAAGTCTGAATTTTAGAATACACTGGTTAGAAAAGAAATTCTGTGACCCGTTGGAAACGAAAAGTCCTTCAGGTAACATAGAACTATATAAACTTTATATGGGGCAATTGCTGTTACTTCGTACATCACCATTAAAAGGTTTATGTACAGAAAGGTAAGACGGCGTCCCACAATGTCCGCTAATCAACCAAACATGGCGCTTCCCACCGTAGCATGAACGTAAGAAACGCTCTGAGCACATGAGACCAACTATTCACACTCAGACGCTACGTCTATATAAAACAGGATCAAATAGCAGCGTGTGAGTGTGAGCTGGGTACTTTCATAATTTCTTCTAACCGTATTAAAGTTTTAGTATTATACGATATTATAGTATGATGTGAGCAATTTTGGATTTTAAACTGAACCATTTACAATTTGGTTTAGCGATGACATTTAATATCAATCCAATAGAAGAAACAACAACATTTTTTGCATATCAACTGGTTTTTAAATGTATGAGCTTCAGTACATTATTATTCATAAATCGCACAAATTCATGACTTCAAGTTACCCCCAGTCGAGATAATGATGGTTAGACATCAGTAACCCATTCTGAAAAACGACAAATCCGTTAAAAAAATATCAGCCTTTGTTCAAGTGTGTTTGCTAAACCTAAAAGATCTATTGAATGTGAGGGTTGATAAGCCTCCTTTTTACAGAACAATAATAACCTTATAATTAGTACATCAAAAATTGTAGCATTTGCAAAAAAATCTGCTCAGGTAAATGCGCCTCGAACAGATTAAAGAATTACGCATTTTCTGTAAAATTACGTACAAAATTAATTTTATGGTCATTATCTGTAGTACTACTTTGTATATAATTTTAGAAACGTCGGTGTGTGCACACTCATTCTAATCTTAATAACGGTTTCCGTATAGAAAGACTCATTATACTGCCAGCCGTCGCGGCAACTTACAGCTGGCCAGCCCTGCTCCTCTATATTCGGGTGTGAATATCCCCTGTAATAGGGTCTGTGACGCTATATCTGCATGGCCATTTGTCTCTATCGACCTTGCAGGCTCTTTCAGGCGAGTGTTTTTTTTTGTTATCCAAATCGGCTTTCAAAGTACGTGTATCATGTATTATGTTAAGAACGATTAACTGGAAAAGAAAGCCTTTGAGGACCAAGCCACAAGTCAGTAGGCGACAGATCGACCGACGATTTCACGCCAAACGTGGGGGCCTTGAATAGAACCCTCGTTTAGGGCGATGTAGATGAGTATGTACAAGAACACGAAAAAAGTAAGGCAATTTATGCCCGAAGCTCGTTGAATCACCCTCAGATCAGAATTTCAGACGGGTCATGTCGAATAATTTGGAAAATTCATTTGGATGCGAGACGACCGACCTCAAGGATTGTGCCGAAGCACCTGAACTTCGATCTGTTAGCAAATGTCTCAAAAGAACTTAATCACGCTTAAAGAAGAGCCGAATGCTCTACAACGCATCATTACATGTCACTGGACATAGCTGTACGGATATCAAGTGTCGACAAAATTAGAATAAAATGAATGCGAGGTGGAAAAATCTACAGTATCGTGATTAAAGGCTAAGCATTATTTCACCAACCTTTTCGGCCATCGGGGACGTGTGCATTTTAAACTAATTCCAAATGGTTTTACCGTCACTGAAAAGTATTATCAAGAAAACTGCAGTCTTGTCTACCAGAATAGGTGAAACTGTGAGTCCCTCATCAAGGTCCTGCAGTTTCAGTTGTAAATTCGACATCGATGTTGTCGTTAACAGATCTACCTGCCTGTGGTTCTTTCTTTATCCAAAGATTAAGCTACATTTGAGAAGCGAAAAAACTTCAAGACGACAGAAGAAACCCACCAAAAGGTGAGAAGCAAACCGAGATCTACTTATACGGTAGAACTTGAAGACTTTTTTTTAACTACTACAAAAACCGATGGTACATGTAAATTGAGCCTTACGGCGCATTTTTGGGGACAGCTAGAATTTGAACGATTTAGGTATGCGCAGTTACGCGCGGCTTCTCGAAGCTTTTTGACCAGTATTATTATTTTATAATATAGACCTTATATCCAGCGGAACTGTAGAAGGCTAATTACCGCAAGCCTTCTGTTTAGACCTCTTCCCACCGCAAGGACTCATGTCTGTTGTTGTATTTACAAAAAAATTCATTAATAAAAGTCAATAATCAGCATGCAGGTTCGCAAAATAAAATGTGCGCTATACTCCGCTCCTAATGGACCCCACGACCTTCAGCAGATCAGATTTTGGTCGCATAAATTAACCTAATGAATTTTATGGTTGACCAGTAGATTTTTATTAGGCTCTGGGATTTACAATTGTGATTCTTTCTTACGTAGATCAAAATGTATTGCTTCCATTAAACATTAGTTCCATGTGGAAAGACAATTGGCAATAATCCTCTATCCCAATCAATAAAATTAAATTTCTATTATAAATTCGTTGATGCAATAATTAGCATATCTCTACTAATTTTCTAAGAGTTCTCGTCAACTTAACGTCGACAGGGATACGTTTGAGGCAGGTATACATAATTTTTATTAGCAAATTATGCAAGACATAGCCTTTATGTCTTGTTACTAGATAGAAACGGAAAGGATGACTCGATTAATTAAGTTGAGCGATAGATAGCTACAGTCTTAAACAGGTTCAGGGAAAAACAAATGCCGCGCCATGTGTCTCCTCATAAACGTTTGAACTTACAACTTTAGCACGCTTTTCGAAGGACGTGTCTTTGGTAACTGAACACAGATATAGAAGTTATGCTATGGGGTTCAAAGGGGATGCACTTAACGAGACGTACGACTCTATGTAGCGAAGACAAAACCTCAGATTATTTACTTCCGATAATAAATGCCCATTGAAAAAATATAACTCGGAGCGCAACGCCCTCGGAAAGCAGTGCTGTTCATAAAAGCTAACGATTCTCGATCTGCCTAGATTGTGGAAGAATTCGATAGTAGGGTTAGGTATTTTTCAAGCTTAAAATAAGTTATCGGACACACTAATAATAAACCGCCGGCAGCAGACGATAAGTATCATTTTTGAGACATAAAACTTCTGGCTCAAGACTGAACCTTCATGTCTGTCATTAGAATATTATTTTCAAGTGGTGTTATTAGCATGGCAGGTGAGTAATTATATGAAACTTGTCGTTTAAGTATTCTACTTCGCTCTGCCGAACTATACTTTTGCACTTATAAATCAAGCGTTGTATGCACGATAAATTACGTCTATTATAACAACAACTGAAAAGTGTGCTTTAGCACGTCGAAAGTATATACAATATACTGTATATACAATATATCGTCTGCGCTGAATTTGGTTAAAACAAATTGTTTCTAAGCTGTTTTTGATACTTCTATGAATAATACTAAACCTATCACTATGTTTCCTGTATTCCTGTTATTACAACATTACATATTCGGCCAAAATAAGCGATCCTTGAAAAAAATTATTGTTTTTTTATAATTAAATGTAGATGTTCGACGGCGTAAAGTTCGATGGTAATGTGACAACGTTTAAATATGTGAGGCTGTAAAAGATGTTGCAAACAGTAAAAGTGACTTCTAGTGGTAGGTTCAGTGTTAATAAAGAGCGTAGGTTGTGTACGATGCCTCATTTGGTATAGAGGCGAGATAGGTACCTCGTCAAACTTTCATATTGGCGGTCTCTAGTCCTATTTCTATCTAAAACTTAGCGACTATTCGAGTATTCGAACCTCTTCATATGTATCATAAGTAAGCCTGAGACCTCAATTGCGAATAGATTGTTTAGAACAAATTGTTGACTGTGCCTTCTTAGGTTAAGATGCCGACAGTGATGCTCAGGAACTATGGTCTGAAGAAAATTGCAACTGTTGAAAAACTGGCAAGCACATGAGCAAGAAGAGGCGTCGTTAATAAATTGCAGTTTTCTCTAATGAAGTTTCGATCGCATCGAAATCTATCGCCACATTTTACGTATTCCAAAGAATACACAATCTAACAAGACGAAGAAGTCAAGCTTCTATAGTAAACGAGCTTCTTCACGAAATATACAATTTTAAGCGTTTCCATTTAGCTTAACTTTTCACCAATCATAGCATCTTCGATCGCGACATAAGGTAAATTCTCCCTCCTTTACTAATCTTTTTGCTCGACCAGGACTACCCCTAGTCCTAATTTAAAAATGCTGGTTGATCCTCGAATGAATGAATATAATGTAGAAATATGTAAAATCTTTAACTGTCGTAGAAATATGTAAAATCCTTCCGTTTAACCTAGGTGAATATTCATTTATGACGTGCGAGCTTCCTCTATAACACTCTGAAAAATGATTAAGCCTAAGTAATAGAACAACATTATGAATGTTATAATTTATGAGAGAGGCATAGCGAAACGCTCGACAAAAAAGAAAAGATTCTGCGTCTTAAAGATTTGGTTGATGATGATGATACCCAGTAACCCTCCAGCGATTATGTGATAAGCGAATTACTGTGCTTGCTACTCATCTACCGTGATACGAAAGCTCCACAGGACTTTTGGGTCAAATTGTGTTTTGGTCGATGAGTAAAACATTACAAAGATCAGAATATATTGTTTACTTTGAATGAGGGTTGAATTTTCGGCTCCTCAAATTGAAGTTTAAGCTTTCTGCAAAGCTTCAAATCCGTAAATTCAGTTATACCTTTTTAACAGAACTCTTCAAATATTGAGTTTTAGATATGAGTTCCACATAAATGAATTTAGCGGGTTTATAGCCTGCCGAGATGTATGCTGCAATATGAATAAATCCTGCTAAAACTGACCTTGGAGACGCATGGAATGCACAAAGGGCACTGAGACCCCGGCATCAAATTTTGGGGAGCTTGGAATCAATGATTGTTATTATTTAGAAAACCCATCGTGGAGAGTTCACCAGAAAAAAGTTCGCCAAGTATTTACATTGACTGAACGTCTCGCCTACTAATAGCTACCAAGGTAAAGTACGATAAAAAATAATTATTTCATCTTGCAATTAGATAAATCTACAAGTCAAAACGCTCACAGAGTCAGCTATTTCGAGTGCGATTTATTCTTTGTGTATATGTATGCCAATATCAGCTCTTTTTAGCTACTCGTTAAAGAATTTCTGATGGCTTTAGTTATACTTTACATTTTGCAGACTCTAGTGGTGATTCACAGGCGTTTTGCGCTATCTATAATAGTTTGTTTATTTTTGAATCAACTCCCACCCAAATTATACTTAAGTAAATTAAAACTGTTTTGGCTATGCTTCATTTAGTCGTTGTATGGCGTAAGTACCTACGGATGAGCTTCATGCACACTTGGCATAGTTTTTCGAAAGAAAGCAAAATGTCTAAATAGCTTTACGAGCTTCTATATATAATGAGATTGCTACAATTTTTATATAAAGTCCAACATTAACAGAGCTATCTATAAAGTAGATGTATACAATATTAGATGATACAACGTTTAATATGAACAAATCAGGTTTTTTGCTATAGTGTGCTGGTAGCAGATTTGTAGCCGACTGCCTGCCGTAATCTAGATATTTCACTTTATTTTTAGAATAAAAGTGATTCCCGGCTAATATTTGACGTCTATCAAGAAGATGTATTTTGGGGTTATTTCCGCTTGAATCGAGTACGTATTATTTCGTCCGCTCAAAATCGTCAGTTGATTTATGTATGGCAATTTGGTACCAAATCTGCTTATAGTTATATTTTCTACGCGTCGTTTCTTAAAGCGGAATTTATATAGTTCTGCGCTACATATGCGAATTTTTGGTTATGGGCATACCAGTAACTTTTGAGGTATGACATCCGCAGATTAAGACATTTTGCGAAAAACGGATACATGCGATAATAATGCAATATCATTTTGTTTATCTATATAATTAACTTGGCAATTGTAATTTAACGAGAAAGTTTACGGATATAAGGCCGATCGTACTCTGGTGTGGGGTAAAATCTAGAGTCTTTCTAAGCTTTCCGATGCATGCGCTACGCTCTCTCAAAAGTGTGGAATCGCCCGTCGGCCCTGTAGCAGACTACGACATAAGGGTGTCGCTTCTAATCAAAATAAACTTCGTGTCTGGATTGAGCCACTTAGCACTGCTATGATTATACCCTTATTCCATTCGATTGTTCCTGTTTGTCTTCCCGTACTCGGTGGTGTACCTGTGCGCTTACGGCCTTGTGCCACTGGGCCACTGCTCGAACTGATACATGAACAGCGTACGCCGCTGAGAAAGAAAAAGGCTGTTGATTGATACAGTGAAAATCGTTAATTACTCGTGTGAGCGTGTTTCGCGCCCCGTTCTTATTACGTGCACCTAACAACATTTTCTTCATTACAACCAAGCAGTCGGACAGGCAGGAGGAGTGATTCCTATTACTAGTAGTGCTACTTAAACAGGAGGTTTTCTTGGGTAGGAGGGAGGTTCTTCGGCGTGCGCAATGGCGGATGCCGTGGTTCCTCCATCGCCACCCGTACGACCACCGGTGGCGTTCAAATGGCGCGATATCACCGAGAACTTTTGTTCAGCTGCAAAATCGCTTGCGCTCGGCGAACTCTTCAGGGACAGTGCGTCATCATATGTTCACTCTTCTATATATTATGCACAAATTATAATTATTAAGAACATCATTTATTAAATTAAATCTTTGAAAAACTAGCTTGACAGGATAACTTGCATGCACACCTTTAGCAACATATGTAATAGATACAGTGAGGACAAACGAAACAATATTTAGGGTAGTTTGTTATTTTTATTATTATTTATTTAGGCGGAGTAAATTCAGAATTAGTTTGAGGCTTTAGGTTCGCGAAGTTGGCGCATCCTTTAGTGAACGCATACGTAGGAATTAACTCTTCTTTTATACCATTATAAGCTGTGGAATAGCTACATCTCGAATGACGAATCGATCTATGAGCGCAGACCATTCCTTAACCGTAAACAGAACTTTCTATAAAACCGCACTATTACGTTACTGTGATTGACAGTAAATAATCGACATCTGAAAGTGACTATTTCAATTATATCGGTAAAAGAATATGTACACTACTTAAACTACACCTTTACCCTACTATAAAATGGATGACTGGGAATTTCGTTGGTCGTATTTCGTTATTTTCCCTGCTGGTCGACAGAAAAAATATAATTTACTTTGCGTTGATTGAAATGCAACTTAATTTTTTTCTTTTTTTTTTTATAAAGAGCCTAATGTTGGTAAACAACTAAACATCAATCCTATATTATGCAACCTTTTAAGCCTTGTGGCTTCATCGTCCTAATATATAGAATTAATAGTGCTTTCAACCGATGGCCTCAATTCCAATGGAAGTTCCATGGAAACTAATTCCATTTTACTACCTTATATAATGTGTTTGTGGAGGTACATTTCGATATTGCAATTACAGTCATATATACGTTACGCACTAAGGTACAGAAAAGTGTTTGCATGACAGCTAATTATTCTACAAAGTCTCATCTAAGCTTTGCATTTTTTTTATTCCAAATTAAGTTGCCACAAAGTCATGCACTGCTTTACTGTTAATTGTTACTATATGTACTATTAATTATTATGATACCGGTAGATAAATGATCTGCAACCACAACTGTAAAAGGAGACATTTAAATCTTATGAGTTGAAAACACCATAAGGCTAATTAAAAATCCGATCGCCGAACACGGTCGCAATTATTTGAAACTAAAAACTACGACTGGATAAATACGTTTCGTCTTATGCAAGAATCAGATGGTCCTGCGTTGAATAAGGGGTTTAGCCTATATATAAAATCCAGTTACCCAATGGCAGGACACTACTGCAAAAGACTAAGTTACTTGGGAAAATCCAGAGTAATCGATATACATGTGGAAGCATACGAAATGCAATCGAAAGCCCAGTGCTCGAACGTTATGCTGCTGTCGAATCTCAATGTCGAATGTATTAGTAACTTTATGATATATAACCATTAGCTGCTAGGTTAATCTACAGAACTTCTGTGATATCTCTAAATGCGGATGAAATCAATGTGACGCGTAATAAGCACATTTACACCGGTTAATACTGTTAGACGCATCGTATGTTTGTAGAGCCTACTTTTATCTATCTGTGGATTCAAAGAGTAACTTTTAGATTAAATGTCAGCGAAGGCACCCAAAATCGTCATACAACATATGAGAAAATCATTTAAAAAAAATTAGAATATAAAAATAGAATCGCTGCATTGTTGTTTAAAGCTCTTTTATCTCTGCATTTCGGGCATCATAGAGTTTCTGTCGAGTCTGAGTAATGTCAGCGGCTCCTCAACGTGGGGTAGTTACGAGAGACTTTATTGAATGAAAAAAAATTATAGCATTTCATTAATCTGACATCAAGGCTAGCAAGCTTGATAATATGATAATGAACTTAGTGACCGGAATATACTGCTCACGTAGGACTGACGCTACACGGTACTATCTCATTTGAGCCCGTTGTAATTGTTCTGCCGTCTTGCTTTTGTATTCTCGTTACCTGATGACAATTCACTCTGTTATTACAGTTTTTTTCGTTTTTGGTGGTATCACCCTGTTTCAGTAAACCGATTGCATTTTATTAGTACTCCCATTACTTTGCTCCAATACCTTGGTTTAAAAATTCAAATAAAATGTGTGATTATCTTGGTCTATATTTATTCCGTTATCGCGTCCTAATCATCCTGTGACCCTGTTGTAGGTGTCCCATACTCCACTGTTAATTTTCCTGTGCTCTCATCTTAATGGGTCGTCTCTATGCCATCATTGACCCGTTACGTCTTTGATTATCCTGCTATCTTAAAATAAAAGTAACCTCTGTGTATCTGTAAAATGCTAGGCTGGTTATGAGATCAAGGAAGTAAAAAATGTTGAAACACTGATATTTTTCACAGATTCGTAACGTTCTTTAAATTAACTAAATCATTTTTACGTTTGTATTCCTTAAAAATTTTCAACCCTTCATTTTAAATGACTGTCCACTATGATCATTTCCTCACAACTTAAACATACATAGAATATCTAACTCGTTTACGAGTTCAGGATAACTAATGCAGGTGATTCAATATGGAATAAAGCTTAAGCGACACTTACATCTCGTAGAACTCTACCATTTGTTATGGGTTCAGCTTGATTGAAAAAACTCAACGTGCAATTAAAATTATAGTTAAAATTAAAAATTTTTTTGGTACTAAGGCGGTTTTTGGAAAAACTTTTTAAAGTAAAGCACCCTTACTGAGTTCTGGCAACTACACCTAATATAAGGTTCTACAAGTGGGAATACCTTGAATTCAAATGTATGATTCGTCTTCTCTAATATGCATGTTAAGTTCATTGCCTTCAAAAAAAAAGTAGGAAACTTCGTTTTACCCTTAGCAGCGTCTTTCAAACATACGTTTGTAAGCATACGTTTGAGAAGAATAGGCATTTAAAATAACAATACGATTTAGTATTTCTGAAAAGTTATGAATAAATTAATTTAAAAGCCCAAATATAAAGGAAGCATTTTTAGTCAAGAACATCTATTATGTGACCATGTTTATTGTTACTTCATTTTTCATCAACATTCATTGCAGTAAGCATAGCGCTATGTTTAAGAATCATAGAACAAAGTACTCTGCTGTTGAAAAATAACAGTTGCATATGCTCCGGGGGTCTTTTTATGTTGTCAATACTGTATTGCTACAGGAGACTTTACCCTTCTTGAGGCTATGTCCGCCATCGAGATGATGGACCCCAAGATGGATGCAGGAATGTGTAACGCAGCAAATAATAACAATAACAATAACACTAAACCTGTTCAACAAAAAAATGGCGATCTTCTACCCACAGACAGCCAGGCGCTGCTTTCGAAAAGGTCAAAACAGGGAGGCTGTGGGGTCGCAGAGGAGGCTGTTGCAGAAGGACGCCTTAAGGTAAAAATGATAACTATTTTTTTAGTATCAGTACAAAGAACTTGATACGCTGTACTTAAATCTTATACAATGTGTCCTGTATTGATAGCTCATAGTTGTATCCGTTTTTATTGAAAATTTATATGAAATATCTCATGTTTTCTTAATATCTTCTGTTTTGGTTGTGTAGGTGTCAGATTTGAGTGCGTTGGAGATCCGAGCCGTTCTAGACTCATCGCTTCGTCTACTAGCTAGTTGGCTTGAAGGCCACTGCTTAGCTCAAACGGTGTTCACAAATCTCTACCTCCATTTAAAACCATTAACTGTCATCGAAGATAGGACGCTTCGCTCTGTAGCCCTTGCCACAATCAAACTTGTAGTAACAATTAGGGTAAGATGTCGCATTTGACCAGAATTATTTTTAGCACTAACAAGCATTACTCAAGCAGGAATCTTATTTTACAGAGAAAAGTAAATAATCTAGTCTACTTTTTCCCATTAGTAATTATTAATTAGAGAAATTAATGTACTGATAAATTATTTATTTCAGGATATCGTATACCGCATTGGAGCTTTTGAGGAAGAGGATTTCCATGGAGTTATGTACAATTTTTACCTTGCTTTAGATGTTCCCGACGCTAAAGCGTACTCACTACTTAAGGAGGTAAATGACTAGCACAAGCGTCTCTTTAAATGAGCTGTACAACAAAAACCATTCGTACCATGCTTTGATTCATAGAAATAATTTGTTTCTATTTTTGCGAAGACTGCGCACACCCCCCGTCCCGCCCGCCCCAAGATCTCTTCAAGCAAAGTCAGTTTTATAAACGTTAAGTGATAGTACGCATTAAGGTCTCAAACAGTAACTAGAGTTTCATTAAAATAATAGTTTACGAAATCGAGCGTTGCCGTGTACTACTTTTTCTTAAAGTGAAAATTCACGTGGTCATGTAAATTGCTCTACAGTGTGTTGTTTAAGTGTCATACGTCTCTGAAAGCAAGTAGGCTATTTAATTATGCTTCTGAATTGTTTCTGAGTTATCGTATATTATAGAGCCTTTAGTTTGAATGTTTTTGTGTTGTTTCTGATTTTAGTGTGAGGATGAACTTCAGAAGCGTGCGAAGCGAGCCGCCCGACAGGTTGATGATGTCAAATCAAGTGGAAGCCTACCAGCATCTAATGGAGATACTGCCGAAGATCACAGACAACCGGAAAAAACTGTCGAAGAGAGATTAGCCAAGCAGGTCTCACCTTTGGAAATTGAAGATACACTTGAAAGCCTTTGGGCATTGCAAATTAGATTGCGCTTTATGCGGCTGTTTTTTCAAAGTCTGTGCGTGTTAGAAGCCAGGCCAGGCATGGCGAGAGGATTCGGTGTGGCCCGAAGGATCCTTCAAAGTGCGGCCGAAACTCTAAAAGTCATCAGAGAAACCAATAGAAATAATCCTAGCAAGGACGACGACGATGACAGCTTTCCGACAACTCCAGGTTTCGACGCAACACTTAATCAAAGGTAGCATAGATCACGTTTTAGATTAATACCTAATACTATGCTATGTTCAGTTACTTTTTGCAGTCCTCAAGTAGTAGTGTCTCTTGTTTCTTGTTAGCTGGTCTAATTTGAATTTTAGGATACAAAACAACATAGGATACAAATATGGGCCGCCTCTTTAAAATTTTCAATGGAATATCCTTGTGTTAATAATTTTATGTAATAGTAAACATATTTTTATTTCTCTCAGACTTCTACCGTCAACGTTTCCACGACACACGAAAGTTGCAAGCTGTCGACAAGCATATGAATATCTAGCAGGAATGGTTGATCGGATGCTCGAAGCGATGCAGGTCGTGGGTTTGTCGAGTTATAACCAAGTAAGTAAATAGATCTTTACTGCCAAATGCATTGCTTTGCAAGAAAATTCCTAGCTTTATGATGGTCAAGTATATGCCGCCCCTTTGAGTATCTACCTACAGATAACATGCACTTGTTTTCTAATTTGCCAGTTGATGTCCATGTGCTTTTAGGTTCTTGATTTTTTTGAGGAGTTTTCAAAGAAAGCACCTTGCGTACTTTCACGCTGTATCGGCCAGCTCGTTTATATTCCTCAACCCGGTCTCGTGTTCGGCGTAACGAAAGGCATTGATGTATTAAAGGACGCTGTCAGATCCTTCTGTCGACCACCCGTAAGTTAGCGTTGCTGTTCATGCCTTTGACAAGTCCATCTATCATCATCAACGTTTTCTGCATAGAAGCATACATAAATAAAATCATTTTCCGTTAACCAAATTGGATACTGAGTTCAGAAAGCTACAGTCTTGCTGCAATGATTTTTCTGATTTAGTACTATGTAATTGGAGTATTTCTATGTAGGTTTATCCTCTAGCAATTCGTCATAACATGTCGTGCCCGTTTGAACCATTTTCAGGTGTTATTAGCCAAGACTCCATTATCCCAGATTGCGGAATGTAGAGATTGGGTTGACGGCTTATTAATTCGCTGTGTACATCCGCTATTCGGGTTGCTACAGGTGGGTCCTCCGGTGTGCACTACATTCCGATTTGTTTGCGAGATTCATATCTATTAGGCTTGGTATCATTAATTGTTCTTCTATGTAATAAATTAATTATAGTTGCGACGTCTTGCCAATTAGTTTTCTGATATAAAGTAAAGGTGGCGAACTAACAAATATCTGTTCGCTCTCATAGAGTTCATCCGCGAAAAGAAGAAATCATGTTGTTCTGTTTAGCACTGTAATATAATAACTATATAGTAGTATCTTAGAGACATATGGTAGAACTCATACTTTGTAAATTGCACACTGACCGTATTTTTTTCCTGCTTTCCCATCCGCAATTTTGTGCAGATTCAGACATCAAAGTGCTGATTTATAATAGCTCTAGGACGGATTTGAAGCGCAATATAACGACACGCTTATCCAACGGATCATCTATACACTTAGAAGCTTCTAAATTCTATTAATTATTTGGTCCTGTACTATGCTCATTATAGGCGACGGGTCACAACCGGGCACGGCAGCGCGAAAAGGCGGCTCGACTCCTTGAAGACCTTTCGTTAGTACAAGAAGAGGCCGAACTTGTCGATTCACGTTTGGTGGCATCTCAACGTGATGTAGATCCACAAGCGCCGGCTTTCCAATGGTTCACGATGTGGCTGATGGCGCATGTACTTCGAACGCAGATAAGATATTTACTTGCAGGGTTTGAGTTGGAGCTGTACGCTGTCCACGAATATGGATATATCTTTTGGTCAGTACGCCCTAATATACGATCAACAGTAATCACGTCAGCCAAGTGAATCTGTTTAACAAATTGAATGGATAGCTGAAGGAAGAATTCAACAATGAAGCTCAGACGTCTTTGATTCATTTTCAAATACAAGTCAATTATTTATCATATTTTCTGCGCTTTTGTTTTTTATCCTTACGGCATATTAATGGCAGGTACTTGTACGAGTATTTGTACCGCTTTCTTGTAACGGTCCTCTCTCAGGCTGACCACTATTTGGCAGATTGCGATCGAAGACTTAAACGAAAACTGAAAAAAGATCCTCGATCCCAAACGAAGGCTAAGAAGCCGGCTAATAAAGGCCAAGGGTATCATCACAAGGAATTAGTGGCGCATCAGGTAAATATTTTTATTTATAAACAAACAACTACCATCGTCATCTCTCCTAATCATGTGTTCACCCTAAACTCTCTATAATATGATTAAATAACTAATTAATCGACCAACTTATAAAATGGCCAACTAATTAAGCAAATACGTAACCAAAAACAGTAAGTTATATAATTATTACTACTAGCCGAAATTAATATTTGAACGATAATAAATAAGCAAGAATATATAATAACGGCACGGGTGAAATGCGTTAAGAAGAACACAATTACGTTGAAATAACGTTGAGACTAACCAGCTTTACACTTCATTCTTGCATCATCTGTTTTACATCGACTGAACTGTATACACGCGGACGATTGGTTTTCAAACGTAACTTAAGGCTAACGTTTGACATACAACATTTTAACTAATGCTACGAATACTCTACACAATACGTATTTCATATTGGCTACAACTTTGTCGGAACGAGTGAAAATTCATTTTAGAATTAGACTGATTGGTTTCAAAAAGTTACAGTTAATCTATCTTATAAGCTGGTTATGTTATTCTATTCCGCCTGTTTAAACGTTAACAGGCAATGCAGAATGTTTGCGGTGGATTGTATAAGACCATGCTCGGTCTGCGTATGGACGGAAAGCTCCAACAACCGCATCAGGAGTTCGACACTGAGAGAGTAAGGATTTAGGATACAATTTTAATTGAGAGTTGGAAATTAAATTGTGTTAAGAAATTAAAGTACGTTTTTTGAATCCACGGGTTCTATCAAAAAAATACGTGGCTATTGTGTTTATCTCGCAGACTCGTTTCGAACACCGATTTGCCGCTTTCCGAGCGGTAGCCACCCCGCCGGTCGTTAGCTACGAACAATATCGTGACCTCAACGACCTCTCTCGTCTGGCGGGTCAGCGTGAAGGGCAGCAGAATGAAGTTGAGTTAAGTCATGAATCGAATAAGAAAAATCCCCACTTGGGAGTTAACGCCCTCACGTCGCGCGATATTTATAGTGCCGCGGCCAGATGCTTCACTCAAACGAAGGTATATCTTTGCAGTAGCAAATATTTCCATGCAGCTAGCTGTTACTGCTAATGGTATATAATTCATGGTTGCAGAGTATATAATGCTTGTCGAAAGAGAAAAACGCGTTATGATAAGAATACTGTTTTATTACTACGCGCTATAAACAGTATCTTCGAATAGAAGCTTTTTATTCTAAATATGATTATTCTAGTCGCATCACGTTTCAATAACTTTCGTTTACTGGATTGTTCCTCGCAGTTTCTGCTAGAGTCTAGTGGCGACGCGCTGAGTGATGAACAGCAATCCCTACTTCGACTAGCAAAACATAACCTCGTAGTCGTGAATCTCCTCGCCAGTGGACATTTACCTGATGCCAAAATCTTATTCGACCGAGGTCATCATCTTTACTTTCCGCTGTTGAGACTTGCCTGATGAGAATCGGCAACAGGCATCCGAAAAAGCAAGAAAAACCAGTACAACTTCATTGTATTAAACATCCGAGTCACGTTTACAGGAAGCAGAAAAACATTGCTTCATGCCTTTACGTTGATCGACAGCGACAACAGCGGCAACGATGTATCACCAAAAATGGGTCTCTATACCTGGGCTCGAATCGGCCATCGGCCGACGCCTCAGTGACATTCGTACTCCAAGCCAGCTAACGGTTGACTTCGTCATTGCCAGACAGGCACCACGAACGACAATGCATATACGAGATTAGCTAGACTAAAAGTGAGGAAAATTATAAACAGTAAAGTAAAATGGCCTATGCTGATTCTAATATGCGTGTAGGGCTGAGGAAAGATAAAACAAGACAGCCTAGAATATATGAAGCACAGCCTCGACATGAGAAGTGTGCAGCTTTAAATTTTCTTTCACACTCTAAATTAGATTTTTTATTGACCATTCGTGACCACTTGGTTGGTAGCAAGGGCTAACTACAAATCTACTTTTTTTTTTTTATGACTGCTTCTTTTTCGTTGCATCGTTTTCTTGTTAATTGCTTCCTTAAAGAATATTTTTATCCTTTCATAATTGACTGATATTTATTGCTTTTCATTGAGATAATTTTGGGGAATTGAGCCCAAATACCGAAATCAAATGTAAAAACTTGAATATTGCTGATAATTTTGGGAGTTTTGCACACTAGAAGTACTCGATTGAAGCTGTGTGATAGGTTCAAGAGAATTGCTTTTTTTTTTGTTATCGCTTGGACTCTGCTCAGGTTCGGAAGTCTGCGCAGCTAACTATGAACACATCAACTAGGTGAGCGTGTGTTCAACTATGTACTTCAGTGGAAGAAAAAAATATGCGAACTCAGTTTCGTGTTGCAATATTTGAATAGTGAATATAGTCACGGTGCTCGTGCGTAGGTGGGTGGGTGCTTGTAATGATATCTTCCATATGCGCCCATCGTTAATCTTATTCGTGGGAACAACAGGCGTCCAAAGAGAATGAAAAAGTAGAAAATGGTAACGTTAAATGGAAAGAGCGTGCTAAATCAGACTCCTTTGGTTCGATAGGAGTTTTCTTGCTTTAGGTATTTGATGGTTTCTCAGTTCCCATGCAGATAGCATAGAACTGTACGCGAAGACGTGTGATGTAATAATGCCTGTGTGTCACAACGGAACTTTCAGGATGAATTAATAAGTTCAGCTTACTTAAGAAAGCGACATACCTATAAATGACGACTAAACATTTTAATAGCTAGCTGTGAGTGGAAAATCGGCGCCATCGTCAAAAACAATACTTTTATACTTGTAGGCTATCAGTAGTCACGAATTTTATGATGGTCCGACACCACGGTCATCATGTAAAAGAGAACCTTATACAAGATAGTACTCTTCGGCGAGAGAGAAAGAGTTCGAATATTTTGAGCGTCCATTCTGTTCATGTTTCCTCAAAACCCATTTGCCTTGTTTATAATGTAATGTTAATATTTGATTAGCGAGACAAATTTAAGGGTTCTATTGGGAACAAAGCAACACTGTAATGATAGATTATTTCTGTTAAAGGGTTTATCGTGACGACCGAAAGGAGCTTGTGTTGTTTGTATGTCTCGCCTAGATTTTCAAGGGACGCTATCTACTGGCATCCATATCAGGTTGCTCTGTATGTATGGGTATACACGATATGATGGCTCGTTAGATTCGACTTAAGTATACTAGGTGTCATTATAATATATTGTCCGCCATAAAGAAAAAGGACGAACAAATTAGGCGGTGCAAGAACGACATGCATAGAGTTGTAAACAGGACGAACTGGAGTGGTTGACCGCAAAAGCATCGTTTAGGAGACGAAACAGTGATGTTTACTGACACCAAACGGCTTCCGGTGACAACAATAAAACATCCCTTTTCCGTTGCGCCATCTACTCCGTTATGCGACCAGTTGAGGAAATAAAGTTTTCTAATTTAAATCAAACGCTCACATTACGTCCTTTTTGCATTGTATACGACATTTATATTAGTGGTTCCCTTATAATTTTTTAAATCCTGTATTAGGTAATTTATTCGAAACTTCACAAAAAGAGGCAAAACGCGGAAAAAACGGACTGCGTGCTTTCGATTGTCTTTAAAAATCTACTACTATAAAAAATGTCCTAGGTCAACTACTGGCTAGTATATTTACCCGCTTTTAGGGCTTTGACGTATTCTCTGTATTTGTGAGGTCTATCATGAACGCCAGTTTATAAAAAAGAAATCGCGCTCGTTGTTTAAAAAGCACCGTCTAGTTTTTCAAACATCAATACTCTATTTGGAATGGAAAAGATCTCGCATAATTGTAGTTTATTATTACCTCTTTAAAACGCTGTGTTACACACAAGATTCTGCTAAAGCCATGTGAACATTTCGCAATATAGTTTGAAAGTAGTACACTGTAGTGGTTTTAGGGACGATTTGTTGTTGCACATACGTCGCGTAAGTATATATAGAGCGCGAAGAACAAGATCTAGAAGTCTTCCTTTAACCTAACAATATTTTTGAAGATTGTAAGGTTCATTTTTAGAGAAAGTACGTTCCGGTAACCGACTTCATTTTGCCTAATGAAAAATAAAAAATGCAAACGTTTTGCTGCTTATTTTAAACTACGAATTCTTTGGCGTTCACGAAGTCAAATAATACGAATTATTATTATTGAAATTATTTAGAAAGTAAGTAATGCTACTTCCGTCGATGTCGAGCACATTTTCTATCATTTCACTACGTAGATCAATCACGTTAAATGAGACACGCTAAAAATAGGGCCTTATTTTTTTTACAAAATCTGGATTCCAATTGATAAGTGTACTTTGTTAGCATTACACGTACACACTAACCTGGTAGATCTAAACTTGGCTGGGCCGTATAGATCAGATTTGAAGGCTCGAACCACCTGTGTACGATTTTGCATATACAAACAATAGGATAACGTGCAGTACAAAAATAATTAAGCATTAACGATGCGTGCTTATTGTAATGATTGTAATCTATATTATAAAATTCTTTAAAACATTGGTTATAAACAACAAGGAATGAATGAGATTTGTGGTACTATTATATATAGTATATAATTCCTTACATAATTTATAACAACGTTTATCTCAATTTTTTCATGACTCTATCATGTTTAATATGTGCGTTCTGTAACTGTTGATTCCTGCGTTAATTTATAGTTTTCAGCCTCTAGACAAGAATATTTTATTAACTGAGAAAGAAGCAATAGTTTTAAAACCTTTCTTCGTAAAAAAAAAAGACGTATAAAAGCGTTTTTAAATATGCTTGATGTTTCTTAATGTTTATTAAATAAATATAAATATTTTCGTCACTGAGCTGGTTTGTTTCATTAAATTTTACTAACACCTCGCTTCCGAGACACAACAAGTACGATCGGTGAAGGATTTTCATTAAGATTCATTTTCATTTTCTATAAGCATTAGGACGAACATCTGCAAATAGGTTTTCGATACTAATTATTATGGTTTCTCATTTGCTTTCACGGTAGATCTGTAAATATGCTGCTTGTGTGTGGATCTCAATCTGTGTTCATCTTTAGTATTCTTTCTATACCTCATTATTTTTGCCTGGACTGATGCTATCAGCAGCCGAGTAAGTTCGTACAAGTAAATCCGATAAAGATCTCATGTTTGTAGAATAAAAACCGATAATAAATTATAAGCAAACGTAAGTGCGGGCTGAGGGAACCTTAAAACCCTAATTAATGGAAAAAGTAGCTAAACCGTAGTTGGAAAGCAAACCGGGAGTACCATAGTTATGAGTTGAGCGTCCTACTTGCAACTATGAGAACGCTCTTACGTCATATCAAATTAAATACCGAGAGCCTACTGCGTATATATGTATATAGCAAGTCTCTCTTTTTTCATTAAAAGTAGGATATATTCAAGTGTCCCTAAAGCCAGTAGTTGCACAGTAATTTTACTGAATGGTTTTTTGCCATAAATCATTACTTTTTCTTAATTCTGGCCATCCATCAAACTTCGTGTCGCATGGGGTACGGTAAGGAAAATGAAATTCATGTTACAAAGTATTTTCTCACCTTCTAAGAAGATTACAGATGTAGTTAATTATAAGATGTAGAATATTTTGAGCAGTTCAAAGTTTAAGAGTTATAGAAAGAAATTAGTTAGCAAATTACTCATTGGGAAAACGTTATTTGTCCTTTCGTGCTTGCTGGACTAATGCAGTTTCCGCGCAGCATGGATACATATTTACACAGTATAGATAGTTAAAAAGAGTACTTAGACAAAGCTAGAACGTCCAGTATTCATGCGCAAACCTATAAAATACGTTATTGTATAGGTACATATTGGTGTTAAGGAATTTCTAAGCTAAGACGTTAAGGCAGTCTACACGACTGTTACGAAGTTCACAAACGACATTATTGCTGAACGTGAAATCCATACGCGATATAATTAGTCACTTGATAAAATTCATGTTACGTATGTGGGTCATTTTTACAAGCAGTGAACAGAAACTTCGCGCCCACTACCTGGCCAATTGCCGCTCGTTGCACCTATTTTGAATTTGGTAAAGAAGCGCGAAGAATATTCAATCACAACGCATTAGATAGTAAGAAGTTGAAAAATAAAGAACAAGCACCCTCTAGACGTGTTTGTCAGAAAGTATTTACACTGTTTTTAAACCCGAAAAAACCCCAACCCAAGAAATTTAATTATATTAATAAACATTACAAAATACTCATTTAGTTCAAGGTTGCAAAAAATATATTATAAAAAATAATGGTATACTTTTGTGGTGTTGTTTTATCTATAAGTGCACGGTTTCAATATTTTTAAATTCAATGTTATCCATATTTCACGTAAGTTATGTGGTTTAAATGGAGAAGTGTTCGAATCTTGAATCGACGGACACTGGTCTGAGTCTCGTCATGGAATGCTTATGTCATACAATTTAAGTGGGAATCATGGAATTCGATAATGAAAATATATATTTCAGCTAGCCTTTTGTCCTTGATAGCAAAAAGAGCTTTCCGGCCATTCCATATGAAAAGTAGCTGTATTGGTGGTATCAATAATAACGTTTTCGAACTCCATAGGTTCCTACATGATAAAACATTTTACCAGTTCAAGTCGCTCCTTCATTGCGGGGGATCCTCCGTTGCATTTCTTGTCTTCAGATGCCTTCAGTTATTGTTAACTGCTTAGGTTTAGCATCGCCCCCTTTTGAAATAATTTCCAACTGTCATAACTGCTGTAATAAGGACATCCTTATCCACGGAGCATCGTTGTTTTTCGCCTTTCTTTTCTGTGTAATACAGCTCATTTTAATTTGCTATTTTTAGTGCACGCTTGAATGCCCATTTAATAGGTCTCTGCATAAAAATTATTATTTTTACCACTTTATTCAGTGTTTACGTCACAACGTATCGTAGGAACTTCATTCTCTAAACAGTGTTGTAGATGAAAGTATGACAAGATGCGTTTGTTTATCGCGTAAGGTATGCTAGATCATTCATTTGCATAGATAGTTTTCAAGTCAGCGAGTGCTGTCCTAGCTAACGTTTGTCCAATCTAAGTTAGAGCTCCGTTGACGTTCGTAAGACCGTTTATTGAGCACTTCGCGGAGTGCGCGAATTCGTTAGATTCTGAATGCCTTGAGTTTACTGGCAGTCATCACAATCAACACTGAGTACTTAGCTAAGACTGCAAAATATGTGCGAATTATGGGATTTGTGAAAATTGAGCTATACATGGCTCATAAAAATATTTCAAGTTTTGCGGGTATAGAAGACGCATATTGTACGGTCAAACACTCGTTCTTTAACTTTTGTACATACGTAGCTTTAGTTTAAAAGTAGAAACTAGCGGAAATAGTTCAATCGGGGATCTCGATTTATATAATGCAGAAATTAAGATATGTGTTAAACCAGCAATAACCACACGTTGGTTTCAGGAGCAACAGAGGACATTGGCTCAGCTAATGTACACGTTAACTCTACGTAGGTTGATTCGTCCATAAATTTAACCCGCTAAATTTAAACTCGGCAGAAAGTAAGAGAGATTAGCGGTGTTACAGATATGGGTTTCTTCGGTTAGATACCGTCTGTATAATTGAATGTGACCTTTTCATAGGATCAATCGTAGCCTATTCGGGTGATGACCAAAAAGTGTGACGAAGCATAAAGCCCGAATTGGCTTATTATCATGGAGTCCGCTGACAAAAAGTACTTTCGCTTTACGAAAACTGCTTTCAGCATGTTTTTTTAGTAATTGAAACGAACAAACAGAGCTAGTTCGAAGTGAATCAAATAAAAGGAAAATTTGCATATATTTGAAAACCCTGCTCAAACTAAAATTACGTGGGGGTTATGAACGAAACGAAATGGGGAAAATGGTGGACAGTTTTCTTGGCACAAGATTCGACACATTAAATTTAATTAGGCAAGACAACAAGCCAGTCAACCTGTAATGAATGAGCAGCAAGTACCCACAGGCGTTCATCCAGTGTAGCTATCAGTGAGTTATTGTGTTGATCAATCGAATATTTTCTAACTAGGGCAAAGCAAAAATCTATGCTGATCCTGTGTGTTGCATCTATCGATATGGTTAGAGCTATCTAAATGTTCAAGTTATTTGAAGCGTAGATAATTTTTAGAGGGGTTTTGCATTTTATTACTACTACAAAATGGCGTTTCTACAAAATAGGAAAAAAGAAGGACAACCCCTTTTGCATGTTACACTTCAAACGATTTTATTTACAGAACAGCTTTTACTGTCAATAAATAGAGACTTTACAATCTAACAATATACAGTAGTTACCGTTTCTGTAGAAGTACTGCGCTTGTTCTCGAGACTATCAGTCGCACCGGATAACTAGCATTCGTTGTAACTGCTTGAACTTAATGTAATTGAGCAATTGAGTGGTGTTATTCTATAAACTTGTTCTTCTAATTATCATGAGTAGAAAAATCAGTTTGTGCAAACATAGCCATTAACAATCGTCTGCTGTATCTATCCATTCGAATTCTAATGACGACTGCGACCTCTAGAGTAAGACTCTTGAGGATAATACTTCTTTCCGTCTGCTATGTGTTTACATTTCGACGGGTTTGGTCGTTGAGCCATTTTAAGTGAATTGTGGCATAATTTGCTCAGCATTCTGGTTTAGCTTCTTACGAACCGCATTGAATCACTATTCTAAACTGGAAATATGTTATATTATTATCTATATATCAATGCTATTATATCATTATAGTTCAAACACAGCGAAAATGGTCCCTTTAAACCCCTCGGAATTACTATTATTACTGGTGTCTAAGCTTAGTCTTTTGATTAAATTCTGTTCCTTTCTTTTAGGTATGAGCATATTCTGGCTTTTCAATCTACTTCCGAATGGAAAAAATCCAGTAAGATTTACCGACGCACGTCGCCGGATTGCACCTTGGTGCGAATAGCCGGCTCGAACTCGATCGATCGACCACCTACGCAGGGTATACCGCAATAATCCTGATACGTGTTCATCATTAGAATGAAGCGTCAAAATAATTGCCCGGAAGCGACGGGTGCTTCTCTTGTCTGCAGTATATGGCGCGATCATAAACTAATAGATACCAGCTAGAACAAAATGAACATTTTAAAAGAACAAGTTATTGGAGAGATTAACAGTCGTACTTTGTAAATTTCGGGAATTAGCGGGATTGCGTAAGAAGTTGCGCCAGCATTGGCGCACGTTGCCCACGTCGAGAACGCACATTGTCTGGAATGGTTCAGTTAATGACTTTAGTATTGGCAAAATGAATTTCGGAAATAGGTAAACTACAATTTATCAACTGCTCGCAAAAGGTACCGCCTTTGGCTCCTTACTTGTGTGACAAATATGGAGTTTCATGTTTCCAAGAAGGAAATATATGTGTAGAAATTCTCTGTAGAATCAAAACGCTATATGGATTTGAAATCTGTGAAGATTTTCGTGCTACGATGGGGGCATATAAATCTACTAGTCTTCATTTTCCATCTGCGGGCTTCACTTGCCATATGCTTTTAAAGAGTGGAGCATCTAGGCACATTAATAATGGGAAAACGATTCAGCACATCAAAACCGTGACCGTCTAAATGGCTAGCTTAACAGCGTTGTCCTAATACCAGGTAGCATTCCTTTCTACCAAACGAAACGAGATAAATATAATGGTTTTGAGTAATAGTATGAAATAAGGGGAAGATATGTTTGCTTTTTTGCCATCCTAGCACATGGTTTAGTACGACTACATGTATCAGTCCAGGACAACATGTATCTATATATCCAACCTATAATATGCTTCGTATATGCATATATACCCTCTCTGCGTTTCGAGTTTTACGTCCGGCATCGCCATTGCGTATTCTATTAGACATATGTACACTAAACCACTGGAAATAATCAATACCGTTGCGAACCTGCTTCATTTACCATACAAATGAGTAGGATTACCATACTAAATGACAGGACAATAGTTTAAAGTAAATATCATCGGCTTGGGTTAGGTAGCTAGCATAGATTTTTCTTTTCTACGTTAGGTTTAATACAATTAATTATCATATTATGAGTGCAGCATATGTGTACATGTGATCCGGGCAACTGGTATGTGAACGAGATATATCTAAGATGTCTGTGAAAAGCTAGTCTTTAAATAACTCTACAGGCACTCAGAGAAAAGCATCTTTTTTAGCAGTTTCTATATAAACACTTATATACGACCTGTGTTGTGCTGCTGCCAATAAATGCTAAGGTCTAACCTTTGCGACTTTAAAATAATTAATAGTTTTTTTGGTAATATTATTGTAGTATGTATCAATAAAAGTAGGGCGAACCCATGTTTCTTTCGCCGTAAAATGTTCAAGACAAAAGTTACATTTTACTAATGTCCTATCAGAGTGCGACACAGATTAACTTATAATAATCTTTTTACAACATTTTAATTTCATCAATACGTCTATGTTTCTTATAGACGTTGTCAATCTAAGTCGATATTTTGTGGTACACAGGAATTAATGACGTGTTGTTCCTGTTCAGCTTCCCCAGATAAAGAGACCACCTGAATACGATACCCCCTGGAGCTCCTTTATCCTTCACTAATTTCATCCGCTATTATATCAGTGGCGCCAGTTCGACTTACCAATCTATTATCGATGATGGACGATAATCTTGTGCGTCGGCCCGTCATTATCACTTTGGATGAGTTAGAGACAAGTCAACAGTTACTATGTTACCACATCAGTGCAACTGTGAAGCGTTTGGATGACTCAATCGGGACCTCGTCGCAACCTGGCGCCGGCATTTCTCGGCCGTTTCATCGGGAGCAGCAGCAGCAGGACGTGACTCGACGGCTGCGGTAATAAGAAACGATAACATTATCACCGGCACCACCACCATGGTCATCATTGAGTCATCATCAAGGCGGCTCTATATGCTTTCACTTGCCCCTTCGTCTTGCCTGAAAGGAAAAGTGGAAGGGGAGGTTTATATAGGACAAGTTAGCGTCTGAGTCACACAACAACGTGGTAACAGGACTACATGTCAAGCTGCTGGTAACTGATACGCGACACTAGTTCATGATGTTCTTGGCACATGCACTTAACGAAAACTCGTCACTTTATGCATATCGGATGTACACGAATTTTGCCCTACATAAATGCGGTTGCGTTATACATGGAATGATACATAAACATATATTAATACGTCCATAGAATGACGAGTCAGGAAGGTTTGTAGAATTTAATATTCATAATCTATATCTATTTTTACAGTGCGCGTAAAATTTTCAGATTTTTTATCATTATTATTTATGACCGTGGACCTGTAAGTCAAGGTAAGCTACCAGGCGGAAGAGGCGTAAACATATCGTACTTTATAAATTCTTACGAAAATCCTCAGATGCTATCAAGCGCTTTAAAGCTTGCGGCAAAATAATCTACTATAATATCTAGTCCGCATAAAAAGCAAATGATTGTTAAAGCATTCTGGACTTGACGCCCAAGGTATTCGGCGCGGTAGCGTGGGACCTGCAACCATTAAAAGCCAGTTGTCCGTTCGGTTCTAGACGTGGGCCATCGTATTTTGTCGATGCCATCGTCTGACAATACTTCCAGACGGCATTTCCTCTCGCTTTTAAGTACGCTTAGAAACGAGGGATGGAAGGTATAGATAACATTGAAAACACAGCTTCTCGTCGAATTTTGTCGTCGAAATCTTGATGTACATTGGTTAGTGTACAGTCAGCTACAACAGAAAAACTGCTCTAGCTGTACTTCAGAGCGATAAGTTTCACGCTTCTCTTGTGAAATCTATAAGAGAACAATCTAGCGTGAATACTGACTATGATATACACTAGCGTTGGACATAAGAATCGTTATAAAAGCCAGGAACGAGAATCATACGACTGCCCAGTTTAGCCACACGAATGTAGTTAGTTTTATAATATAATATATAACAATATTATAATAAATATAATATATAATAATTTTAGTATTTGTTTGTTTTCCGCAAACAAATCGCCAAGGCGAAAATTGTATTGGTAACCTAGTATAACATGGTATTCCTCGTAATCCAGAAGCATCAGCCAATGCGTATTGTACTCGAAGTACTGAATTACAGTTTTCGCACGTCCTAAATGTGTTGTATTAAGTATACCCTTGTGGGTGCATCCCTGCAGGAGATTTTTGATCTAGCAGCTTAGACGCAGATATCACTGTTTGTATTTAAAAAGGAAAACCGGTCGCGTTTTCTTCTATGCGCTGCATTTTGGAAATTGGTGAGAACTATAGATTTAAAAAAACGTATAAATCCTTCACAAATGGTTGTTTTTATTCAAAATAACAGAGGATTTTAGAATAATTCGTCAATTAAAACAGTGCAATTTGTTTTACGTGTTGCCGTTAAAAACCTAAGAATTCTTGAGTTTTCGGCATGCATATTGTTTCATGATTAAAGTTAATTTAACGGGTAAATATTTAAGTTTAATATATTCATAGACTATTGAGCCGTGGTATGTCCCTGGCCGAACTTGAAACCCGTCATAAAACAATACAGGACGGTTAAAGTGTAACTATGTAGGGGAGTCTTTGATTCGATGTTATCTTGTTGTACCGAAAATATAATTTTCATCATCATCAACGACGAAATATTTCGCCCTGCTACGTTATATTAAGCTGTAGGAGAAACTGACCACCAATGCTTTGACAATTTTCTTTAGCTCGCTAAAGGTCAAATGACTTTACATAATTCTCATATTTGATATATGTTTATATACATTATTTCTGCAGTCGAGTCATAACAACCAGTATAAATCAAGACGATTTTTGCCTGTCTGTACTGCAGGAAAACATGGCCATGGCTGGTTAAATTATACTAGCCATATCTGCGGGCGCACAGTTCTATACATCCATTCTAGCGTCGTATTCCATAATATGTTACTGTATCTCACAATCGTATTGCTTATCACTGGCCCTGTTTTTCAATAGTTTTTTCTCGAAAAAGAAGATGTAAAACTTTACGACATATTTTTTAGCTGTATTTCGACCTTCGTTACTTACTTGATTAACCGTTCGGCCGTCGGGGAAGATGAAGGAATTCCTTAGACGATTAATGACTACTGCTCAGTTTGAAGATATCAAGCAGGTACTTGTAAAGAAGACATTTTCTTGAACATTTGAAAAGCCCGCCAGACAGTGTATGTGACGCGGGCACAGCTATAGAAATAACGTGCGTGAGATCCATCCCTATTGTAGCCTCGCGGTCTGACTTAGTTTAACAATTTTGCTGTAACCTTCATACACGCTGAAGTTTCCAATGAACAATTCACTACGACGCTGTAATCGATGAAAAATTAACACTGACAAACATTTGAAGTTGGCCTATCCTTAAGGAGAATTCCATTGTCTGCTTGAACACCGGCCGGGTTTGAATTCCCTAATTCCACGCCCCCTTCAACTATTCGTTCAACGAGAAAGTTAAGAGCTTCATCAACATTAACATCTTCTTTCGCTGAAGTAGGAAACCAGGCATCGATATCATTCTGCTTACAGAATCGGTCCAGATCGGGCCAATCGTCTGCAATATCACATTTGTTTGCCAGAAGCACTGTGGGCAAGCATGTCTTGTCGTCCGTCTTCTCCCGGAGATCCTCGCGCCATTTTACGATGGACTCGAGTGTAGCTGGCCGCGTCAAGTCATAGACGAAGACTGCTGCTGTCGCGTACTTATAGTAGACCCTCGTAAGCGAGCCAAACCTCTCGTGTCCTGCGATGTCCCATAGCTGTAGAGTAATCTGTTTATTGGGATGCCAACGAAGTCGCTTGATAAGAAAGTCGACTCCAATGGTTATCTTGTAATTTTGCGAAAATATTCCATCTGTGTAGCGGCGTACGATCGCTGTTTTGCCAACGCCAAAATCACCGACAACTAACACCTGGAATAATATTTTCAGTCACAGACAAAACGAAGTATCAAGTCCATTTTGTTCGGGCGAACCTTTACAAGCTGCGTTTTACAAACAAATTAAAATTTGGAGGGTTGAAAAGTGATTCTAGTCCTAGGACTATGAATCCTATTTTTACAAATACATTATAGGTTGCTCTTTGTGAATCGGCTAATACCTGAGCGCCGTATGGTCAACAGCTCATAGGAAGTAATATGATAAATATCTTAGAGGATAGAATTGTCTATTTGCTCGGCTGACTTCTAGCATATAATTAAAAAACCACAGATTATCCTACATATACAAGTTATTTGCGTCGCAAGTGTTATTTTATAGAAATATATCGAAAACCATTAGAGTCTTCACTTACAACATAAATAGAATATGTAAGAGAAACATTGACAGAGGGAATAATGCCTTTCCCCACTGAAGCCACCAGTCTTTTGTTCAAAAGGTTTTTCGCGTTCCCTTTACCAGGCCGCTCAGGCGTCTCAGACTAGCTGACTGAGTCCAAACATAGTTTCATACATTTAGCAATAATAGGAAACAATACAGATACCTTGAACAGGAAGTCCTGATCGTATTGTACAATAGGCTGCTGTTGCGTTTGCTCCATCGTGCTGTGCTTGGCACCCTCGTTCGGGGAAAGTCTCCTAGGCCCTCTCTTAAGAAGACTGGCAACTAGCAGTAATAGTGTTACCTGTTTTGTTAATCATCACCATCCGCTGGTCACATCAATCTGATCAAAAGGCAACTCATTCACTGCTGGTAGTGGATAGCTGATGCTAATACTTCTCGTGCAGTGCTCCAGAAACCGATACAAACAGATCGCTGCATTTTTCTTGCTACACAAATTTCCTGACTCGAACTAAATTCTCACACACACACACACACACACACGCGCACGCACACACACACATACACCCACACACACACACACAAAAACAAATGGATGTTGACACACGATGTTGACTACAGCATAGGACAGACGGCCGAATTGCCGATGTCAGTAACCCGAGTATGGCCGCACTATTGGACAGACCTAAAATCCCTCGACCCTAAGCCGAGTGTTGAATAGAAGAAGATTATTTACGTTTGAGTAATCGCTTACATCGTGGAGCACAAATACTTATCGGAATTATGATGGTGAAACAAATTATGGAACACCAGGCTCAGAAAACAAAAACCTCAAAGTCGAACGGCCACAAGTAATAATAACGTATCATCTTCTTTCGTCTAATTTTGCGATTGCTGCGTTGCTCACGAACGAATTCGCTCTGTGGATCAGCGACGTACCACAATAGCGGACGCCTGCATACCCGACACTCTCGACGACGACCACCGGCTAAGGTAACAGGTGGCGATTATACTGCAGGTGTCGACTAGAAAATGAACATTAGGTTGTAGCTTTTTTCTTTTAACGACAATAGTAAGCGTAACCGTACTATTGCGACCTTCCGCTGGCAGCGATGTACTGTATTCGCTTAGTTCCGCTTCCGTAACCAGTCGTTTGCACATTCATTCACTGTCGTCGTAGACTGCCGCCGCGCTGCTGTCTGTGCCGGCGATAATGACGACGCCGATGACCACCGTTTCGCCGCTGCCTTCGCTGTTACCGTCGCTACTGCTGCGGCTACTCTTAGCGGCGGTAGCGATGCTGTGGCTGCTGGCGTCGCTGGCGCCTTCGTGACGTCACCGTTACCGTGCTTGCGGTGGTCGCTGTTGTGCGGTGCTGTTGAGAGCGTACGGCTGACGGAATAATGGCAAACAGGCGAAGATGATAAAGGCAGAGAAGCAGGAAAGCGCTGGCGGGAAAACGTAGCTCATTGCGCTTATTTGACATGCATCGAAGCAGGACAATGACACAGTCCTATGAGCAGCAACGACGGAAAGTTGTCCGAAGTGGAAAAGAAACTCGAAAACTGGAGAGATACAAGAGAGAATAAAAAAAGGCGATCGAGGGACCGAGAAGAACCGAAACAGCTAGAAAGTGCAGATGAAATAGGGTACCGTCGTACCTAGGGACCACATAATGGCCTAACGAGTTACGGACAACGAGCAGACGAACAACCGACCGTATAGATTCATGATACAAATTATGTCCGCCAACTTACCCCATTTTTTTCACGTCTCATTCGTTTTTTTCGCTTGTGTTCCATAGCTATGCCTTCTGTTCTGTGCCCTTATGATGCCCAGGAGATGGAAAGAAATTGCTGTCAACTTATGTCTACCACCAATTGAATATTTTAAAAAGCCTCAGAAACATGAATGGTTATCGACGATGCGGTGAATACGTTAGCGTTACAGTACTTTTCGCCAAAGTTTGTCATGCAAAAACGCGAGATACCAAGTAAAAATAGGGTAGGACATATACGGGCCATATTTTTCAGTATCCCTCTTATCTTTTTCTGTTAAATAATCGATAGGCCAGATATTATAGATGAGTCGTTGTAGAAGCCTAGTCTGTTAGGCAGGACGAATTTGCAAAACTTCAGAAAAGGACGAATTCTTGGCGCGAAGGTTTGCCAGACTTCTTGTAGCAATAACTAATTTGAAAAAAGAGTGGTTTTTTAATAACAAAATTAATCTTCTATAAAAAGACCTTTGAACTAGATCGTTAAAGATCGGCTATGAGTGGTGCTATTAATCAGTTTTTACTATCATTTGCTGCAACGCAACGTCATTACCTGCGTAAGCGTTAGATGTGTTCTAGTACTGGCTGCATCCTCGTTCAGCGGTGCGGTGGGCGCCTTTGTCGTGACCTAATCAAGGTCCAAGTTAGCAGATCTCGATATACTAGCGCATTGAAATGTAGAGATAATTAGGTTTTTTGTGCCACAATCTAGCCTAAAAAACCTGCTCCAGTTAACAGTAAGTTGTCTAATACAGTTTTCAACCATATGAACTTACCAAAATGTGGATCTCGATTACGACGAATTCAAAAGTTGCCTCTTATCACATCTTTTTTCTGATAGAGTTTATTTCCTTACGGCTTACCTGACACGCCGGTTGAATGGAAGAACGCTCCTCTTATTCTTAGAAATTTTCCGCATCTTCTGCAATGAGCTTTACTTTCCATTAGACAATGCAACGAATTTTTATTTTGAAGATGACTGCCATTCTTCTGCAAATTTTAATAAAGTAAAACCAAGTACGATCTAGATTTTAGTAGCTGACCTTACTGTATAGGTGTTTCTTTCAATGCCTTAAGCTACTTCGATCATGCGAAAAAGTCCACAGAATCATTTCTTTGTTATAGCATCAAAGATCTTCCCTCGCCTGGCCGGTTTAGCCGGAGTGGATATGTTATCTGATGTTTCCCACAGATTCATGAAACGGCATGGTATCAAAAAAAAACCAGCAGCGTTGAAATCCGAATCAGCGATAGCCGCGTGTTCATGGTCACTGTGGCAACAGATTTAAAAATATGCACATCAGCCACCTAGATCACTACGTTCTATCACACTACACCGATATTGAATAGGGTAATTTTGAGATTGACGATAATTAATTTCATTTTATAGCGATTATACGGTACGCTTTTCATAAAAATTCATACGTAATTGGTATTAACCGTCAACACCTTTGAGTCCTCCACAAGTGTCCTTGATTTCATCGTCTCACAACAACCTATTGGCACATGCCTGATTTTTTTCGACCTATTAACTTCGACAGTCAAAGTTTCCGAACCGGTTATTTTACAATGGCGTCGTTTGGCTAGATAATGCACATCTTTTTAAGCACGTTGCCATGGTAACCATGAGCGTGTGGAAGCGTGAAATCCCTGACCGAAATTTCATCGTTGTTAATTTATCATCATAGTATATGATTGTTATCATGCCGATCTGTTGGTGAAACCCCAGATGACATGTCTTCAAAGACCCACTGCGGCTCGACCCTCCAGAGGGGGCAAATCTTTGACGCTATATCGAGGAGGTGATTCCGAAGATTTGTTCGCACATAAAGAGCAGCCGTAAAAGTTTAAAAGATAAAGCAAAACAATCAATTCGTAATTATTATTTGCCGAGCAAAGTTTTATTCCGCAGGTGACAATGCAGCACTGCGTATTAAAGACTACGTGGCCCACCGGTAAGTGTCTTTTATCACTCACAGTTTTTGAGCTACCTATCACAGAATAGAGAAATGATTAATATAATAATATTTAGACTGTTTAATCCGTGTACCATTTTTTTTATTTCTTTTGAACCGAATTAATAGGATGAAGCACTTCTAATAGGATTTTGAGGCGTGTTTGCAACGTTGTCAGTATAGTAGTCTCTAGAAAATTGATGGTCCTCAGATTAGTAGCGAAATCGTTTTGATATAAACTGCAATGGTAATGATTATTACAAGCTAGAAGCTGATAATAATAGGTGTTTCGAGTTTTAAAATTATAGCTGCGCATTAGTTTATGCAAACTGCTACATAAGTTGCATCAGAATGAGGCAGAACGTATTGGTTCACGTCCCGTCCATCATTAGCTGAACCTTCTGAAGAAGTTTCTCATTGAGAAATTCCAAAGGTTGAACAAAGTTTTATACCTACATCGAATTCAATGAAAGATTATAAAGTATGTGGTTTTATCGATTTTTTTTGTATAAAATTTTTCAGTAATGGTTATATATACTATATTCTGGGGAGTACTACTTTCAACCGAAAGATATTTTAGGCCAGGATTCTATTTTGACCAAATATTTCTTCCGCATTCGCAGTTCGTCTGTAAGTGCTAAAACTCTTAGTTAAACCACTACTAGCACATAAGTTGTGGGTCAGTGCAGCTGCGTTTGTTGAATTCATTAGTTGTAAAAATAACTTGATAATAAATGGCTAACCCAGGACACGAAGATTGCCTTTTCGTTACTGCTAAAACTCCTGCAGATCGCAGCAAGTGTACAAGCCTATTGAGAGAAACAAAATGATTTGAAGCTTACGAAGCTGATGAAAAAAAAAACTAAGAGATTATGTTTTTGCGAAATTAAGCAAGTCATGGAGGTGAGAAGAAACTATAACTATAACTAAAGATCTTAGGTTATTCATAGCTTATAACAACTAATAACCTATCCAAGTTATGACTTTCTATGATGCCCTTAAAGGGCTCTGTAGGCTTTCGCCAACAAAATTTCAACACCGAACCGTTTTTGGCGGGTAAATCTCCCAGCACTAGGATGGGTCGACGCTAAATGTGCCCCGCATGTCTTAGGACATGTCGGAGCCAAGCGACGCGGACGATTTCGGCTATTAACCAAGCGGTCAAAAAGATCAGTTCAAGATATAATTAAATCAGACGAGGCACATACTTCTTAAAGTTTTCATTAAAATATTTAATATATGCAAATCTTATGTTACAAGTATACTTCTTGTCAAGGTTCGATTGTTGTTTAACCAAGCTGATCATACGCTATTTTAGTTGTTCAATATTAGCGGCGTCAAATAGAGCTTCGATAAAAATATTTCTATTACGTTATTGTTTACCATTAAGAACACAAGCCAAAAAATTATAAAATTAGGACGACTGATACAGATCATCACACTTCTGAAAGCTGGTAATTAGCGCTTAGTAGCAGCTACGCCATTGTATAATTTTTTGCCTTTTAGACCGAGGAAAAGGGTCAACAGCATGTTCTGACGCATCAGCAATTACTTCCTTACAGATCTTTTTCATTTCGGGACAGTTAGAATTTTTTTTCGTAGAGTGCTTTGGAATATACCTTATTAATCAGTAACTATCTTGAGCTGGAAAGAAAGCCGAATAGAAAAAGATGAGTTAAGCTTAAAAAATTTTTTAAACTAAAGTTTAACAATTAAAATTTGCCTATCGTAGTTAGTTAAAATATGTTAAGTGTAGATACTAACCTCTAACGTAATTCCTAAAAGCGCTGCCGAACGTGAAACTTGAAACATTTAGGCATTGATTCCAAAATAACATATTTAACTTTCTGAAGGTTCTGGGTCTTCTCTATTTAAAAATGTACAACATAGAGGCAATCTGTGCCTATTCAAAACGTTTGATTTATACTGACGGACTCATAAACCCTGCTTATGAACTTTTATCAGTTGGTATGAGTCGATTAAGCTTTGCTTATTAAAGATTATGTCATAAGCCTCGCTAGTTCTTGGGTAAACTCCTTGAATATCTATCAGAATATATAATATTCGTAATTTCTAGCAAAAATAACGTATTCCTTGCATGTTGAAGAGGTTTCCAACTTATAAGAGGAGAAAATGAAAAAAGCTTATAGTACAGGAGCTGTTATGCGTGTGGGGGAATAAAAAAAAATTTGATAAGGGTAATGTTTTACGAACCCATTAGTAATAACCTGCGTCAGATTCGCATCTACACGAGTCATTTTAAATTTAGCGGAAACAGAACACAACGTTATTCATTTTAGAGTAGATTTCGAAGTGCTTCTTAAAATAATCTGGACCCAGCATAGTTCAAGCTCATGGTGGCCAATCTTGCAGGTACTCTACGCCTATTTAGAAAGCTATTTTGGAAAGGAGTTGAAAGCTACCTAATATAATGCAAGATCAACCCGTTTACTGCCAGCCTATTTCATTAATTGAATTATCACTTGATCTTAAAAAACTCTTCTACATTCAATCTAGGGTCTATTTATTTGGCATTTTCAGTTTTTTATATACACAACATATATACAATTTGGTCTCACGAAACTTACAGAAACATCTACTCTACGCTCGAAGTGTTTCAAAGTGTTCGATTAAAAGTTCCAACTATCAATAGAAGTGTCAGACTCTCAGGAAAGGAGCTCGCGTTCGAAACGATTGCTACAACAACGACTCAGACGAGATCACAGCTCGCTTCCGTAATCCCATACTTGATTGCCATACTACCCCCGGGGCGCACCGGTGGTCATTCAGTCACCATCATCAGCATTATCGCCGTCGTCATCAATCATAGAGTTCCTTCTTATTCTCCTAATGCACTACAAAAGAAGCTATTTGTCATGTTGCTATATCAATCCAGAACATTTAGTAAGTATCACAGATCTCTTTGGTTTCTTCGATCTTATTTACTGGAACTGAGTGTTTTCGGCGTCACCTCCAAATGCGCCGGCGAAGGCCGATGCATCGAACTGCTGCACCTGGCCTCCTTGGGCTGCCTGAGCGCCGGCAGCTTCGAAGCCCTGGAATCCTTGGAAATCCTGACCACCAGCAGCGTTCTGGGCACCGAAGGCAGCACCAGCATCAGCCCCAAACGCCGATGAGTCGAATTGAGGTGCGTCTCCACCGGCCACTAGAGGATACGAGAAGAGGGCAAAGTTAAGCGATGTTTGCATTTCTTTCATCTACAAACTGAAGTTAACCTCGTTAAAGGATAACTACTTTAAATGCAACGACATGAAATGCCTGTACGTAATTAATTAACTGCCGAGGTGTACTCGTATTTTCACTAAAGATCTGCAAGAACACCTATCAATCAATCGTACTACAATAGTGGAGATTCCCTTGAAATTCACTTGCAAATGTTCGCGATGCGGGGCAACGTTGCGACTCCTTTTTTTTTGACATACATAGGCAGCCTTCGTAAGACCTTATTTGGCTTGTGTGACTGTATCTAGCAGAGAATTAGTATAGAGAAAAGGGAGCAGATCTGCAGGCAATAAAAGGTATTAGCTAAAACGGTGCATCGGTTTCGCGTATGTTGTGACAACGCTGATGCCCTTCGCTGTTTAATCTTGTTGGTCGCCATGTGTCGTCAAAGACGTTGTCATCCAATCGCGAGAGCTCACACTGACCTTGCTGTCCGAAGGCGGAAAAGTCGGTTCCGTCAAACTGCGCAAAGGCCACGGCGGCAACGGCAGCAAAGAGAACAACCTGGAGGGCGTTCATGTTGTTCGACTGGGTTGATAGACTGTCGTACTTGACTTGTCAAAGAAGAGCTAGCTAATGTCCACCCTAAACCGGCAGGACCGCTTATATACCATCGGCAACTGGCAAAGCGATACACAGCAAACATAGGAGGCAGCGCAGAAGCCCCTAGCAGTCCCTCGCCGGGACGGCTGACGCTGACGCCGGACACCAAACACCACCAGCCAGGGCTTGGCCTTAGCGGAGCTGTCAAGCCCCAGATCGTTACAGCTGACGCCTGTTCTGCTAGCCCAGATCGCTTCAGTAGGACTAGCGGTAGCAGCAGCAGCGGGATGAGTCAAGACAGTCGCCGCTGCAACCGTATCTGAAAACAGCAGCAGCAGTGACAACGCCGAAAGCAAGGAAAGGAACAACATCAACAAGCGACCCTACTATCATCGCCACGACCATCATCAACGCCGCCGCTGCCGCACTATAGCGTCAGGGGGGTGGATGGCCGAGCAGTGGCGTCTGCAGACAGTCATCGGGAGCAAGGAGGGCCAGCTGGGCATCGGAGGGTTGAGTGGTGAGAGTGGCTGCGATAATGCGAGAAAAAAGATGTAAAGCAAATATAAGAAGAAATCGGAAAAGAGAAGGCATCTTGGCATCGCGTCATCATGTCCACATTGTGTGAAAGCTACTTGCTGTGCACGAGCAAGCATTTGCTGCGTTCTGTAATAATAACCACACACTAACCACAAGGCGAATCAGCCCCTAACAATAGGCAGACCGAACAGACAACTGCAATGGCGGTGGCTGCAGCATCATTAATGGCAAGGGACTAAATAGGCTGCTAACACAGCCCCGCAGTGTTGGGTGGACACCGGCCAGTCGACAGATCCTGTCAATAGTCGTCGATCGACAATGATGAAGACACCGATGAGAATGATAGAAAAAACGGCAAAAGACAGAGAAAAAGAGACGCTTGCATAGGATGCCACAGCACCCCATAAAGTAGTGGGCACGGGCAAAAGCCATTGCTGCCTTTTTCTTCTTCTAATGCTCATTCGCTTGTCCGCCCGCCTGCCTGTCGCTATTGACGCTGGACAGTTTCTTAGTAGACGTTTGTCAGACAGAACTGTAGCAAGTAGCACTGCACGTAACTAGCTACTATCCGTTACTTGGGGCCTCGATAAGTCGGTCGCTAGCTCCGTTGTGTTTGCGCTGACGGCTGTGGCGAACAAAGCTTGACGGAATCGATGGTGACGGCAATACGGTGCTAGTAGATATATTGACGCTGGTGTTGTTATTACCGTCGCTCGTTGATGTTATGGCTGTCAGTCGGGAGGGCAGTCAGGGGGCCAAGCTGGGCTGCCCTGGCCCGGCTCGGTGGCCATTAGACTTGGTCACCAAGCCGCTTTTGTGCAGCTGCAGCTGCTATGATAGACATCACGCCGGCAAACGGTGCTAACGGCGCCCCCGGCATCGCTCATCGACTACTGCTGCTTCTACCCCCCACCGCTCACTAACGGTCAAAGCCTAGCGTTACTCTGCAAGAGGAGGAGCAAATGAAAAAGACCGGGCTTTCACTATAATCTGATGTGGCTGTTAACGCAACGGGGGCGAACCAGACCAAAGCGTTGGTCGTAGTGGAGGACAGGAGACATCAGTCAGCTGCAAGCGGAGAGCTACAAGCAAACACGGAGCCTATACCCGCAACAGCTACGCAATGGCCACAACGGCGAAAACAACGATCTTGATAACAACAACATCCTGCCTTAACAGGCATCTATCATCGCGCTGATTTTCGTCGGAAACATGATGAAAATCATGGCTCAGTTAAGAGGTCTCTGTACTATCAATGTAGACAAAAGAAGCACTGCCTGTATCCATTAGGAGGACCTTTCGTATTGCAACTCCAGACAATATATATATATACATATATATATATATGCTAATTTAAATTTGGAGGGTAAATAATAGCATCGAAATAACAACAGTGTTTTCGCTAAAACAAGTACATGCTATGTAGAATGCTTGCTGAGCTCAATTTAATCGTAGTAACGGCTGCGGGTCATTGTGATCCGATATCTGCCAGTGTAACGGTTTGGTGAAAAGTTTCAGGTGGCAACGTGCCTAAAGCAAGATGTGCTTGAACTGTGAATGTTTGAGATCTGTAAGTCACATGTTATGGCAGACGAGAACAGTGTCGTTAAGTAGCAACAGGCTGGCCTAGGCAAGCGAATAATATTAGGGTTGATGAGTGAAAAGGTAATGAGCCTATAGAGTTATTCTATTTCCGCTCACGTCTCCGCTCAAGGCTTCCGGACCAGGCCGTTGCAGTGTGTAGGGAAAGGGCCTTTGTTTTAGTTAAAAACGGTAAGTTTACGAATGCGAATATCTTATGAGGAGAAGTTTGCTCAAGTTACACCTCCGCAGTAAGTTACGCGATGGAGGCAACTTGTCTGTTGGAAAATTTTTCGCTCAGTGTGTGACCCTTTAGGAACTCACATGAACCTGCAAAGATTGCACTTCAACCTCAAAAAGACCCAGAAGGCTAATTGATTTGCTTACTTGCTTGCTGGGTACCGAAGCGTAAACACCATGACCTACGTCAGTAAGCTGTGTGCAGTATTTGATACCATATACGCTTTATTATATGCATGTTAAGTCACATTGTGACCATTTTATTTAAATCCGTAGATTAGAGGTCCTTCATAGGTGAGAACAGTTATGGAGAAGATCAGTTTCAGATGGCAGCCTTATATGCTGTCCCATATTTAAGCGTACAAAACATAGAAGCGCGTTTTCATTTGCAGTTAGCCAAGTATTTTTTAGCAGTTGCTGACGAATCGCCCTATGCAGCTTAGTTTTTTTTAAGCATTAGCAGCACACATAAAAAATATTGTATTTTTTTATGTGTAATTTTATATCTGTTTATTGATTTTTCGATGGTTGTATTTGGTTTCCTTTGCTTGCTATTCAAGATAGATGTGTTTTCTACAGGCAGCTTGTTTACAGAACCTTTTTATTTAAATTAATTAGAATCATATTAGGTAGAAATCGTTGGAGTCGAGGAAGTTAGAATCAGATTAGGCTATAATGTGATCTGTGAAAGAAAATTCAAGGTGTGGAAAGGACCTTCCTCCAAAACCTCGCTATAGGAAGATGGAAGGAGGAGACATCTACTGAACGGCGTACTAATGGCAGCAAAAATAGCTGACAGAATAATTTCTTAAAGTTGGGTTCTACTAAACACTGGTCTTAGTAGTCGAACCTTCAACTTTAGTGTTATTATTTCGTTTTAATGCAAACGTTTCAGGCGTTCACGAGAATTATACCTTGAAATTCCTTACTGTCGATATGCCTATTTCACGTGAAAGGAAGTCGTTCTTATTTATAAGAATATTTTAAAATAATCCATAGGAAACGGCTCAAGACCACCTACTCTTGATAAAAGAAATATTAAAACGTAATCAGGCTGAGTCTTTGGAAGCGTATACTTACAACTATAAGACAGACATATCTTCAATTTGATTAAGTACGATACAAATCACATAACGCTTTAACCCATTGTCGGGACCTGAACAATGGGTTAAAGCGTTTGGATTTCGCACGATGTAGAAGTAAATAACTGCCATTCAACGCCACGGATTTTACTTCTCTTGAGCAATACTACTATTCACATTAGCCACTCAATAAAAAATAAGTTTTCTTATACAACTTAAGGTACAATCAATCCGTCGATTGGCAGTACCTTGGAAAGCGAAGGAACAAGGAGAACCTAATCTCAAATGTGTCACCAATTTGTGACCAATAAATATTAGCTCGTAAGTTTCACGCGTTCAAAGTCGCTTACAACACGCGGTCACGAGCTGAAGTGGTCTATATACACAATCAGAATTACGATTTCCAAATGTTTGCTTATTCTACCCTTGGTTTCTAAATGGTTCTGTCGTAATATCAGGAACGTATTTCATAGAAGTTTTGATACTGAACTGTGCGTTTGCCGAGCGGGTTCCATTGTATTAGGGCAACGCGTTCGCAACGGGTTTCACACAAAAACATAGAAGAAATGACGCTACTGTTTCAGATGATGCCGCCGGCACCGCTTCTGCATTGGGAACAATGAAGGTAAACTGGCTCGCCTTCAAAATCGTCAAGTCATTGGCGGTCGTGGTCCCGTAACGGTGCCGTATATGTGTGTTACGTGTTAGGGAGCTTAATTTTTCAATCTCTTTCAAATCATATGAAGTCAGTTACGGGGGGAACGGGAGACACATTGAGTGTCTGCTTCCCCGTAAAAGGCCAATCTAGTATATCCATATATATATTTATATATATATATATATATACAGCATGGAACATTTCACTGGCGTATTAAAATGTCTCAATGACGAGTGGCATTCTAGTCTACAAAGTCTAGCAAGTCTACAAAGCCGGTCTAAAAATGCCTTATCTGGCCTTCTTTATTTCAAACTTATAAGACAACTAAGCTTGTGGCAGTCATCAACAGTATGTTAACACATGAGTCCGCGTCCATCTATTACTCGTAGTTTTTCGTTGCCGTCCAGCGTTAGCCCCGTATAACTCGGCTTTGCATGAAACTCCTTATATTCGATATGTGTAACCATGATATAAGCGTGCTTTGAAAGATACGCACGTGGGCATTTTTTAGTGGAACGAGTAGTCGTCGTGTTGAAATGATCTAGTTATAGTATCAGTAGTCAAGCCGGCGCGTACACACAACGCACCTTTTCCATTTGACAACAGCATCTGAACGGATACCATATCAAACGCCAATTGTGTTGTTCGCTCAGAAAACGCATCATTGTTTCGGATATGGCCAGTTGCCCCATGCAGCCACCGTAGTCGTTCGCGCCTGGTCTAACTACAACATCGATGACGAAGAAGAAGCAATGGGGAATTAATACCTGTCTATATTAATATTATTATTATATATTTCGAGGATTGAACGAGCGAGACAAGAGCGCGTACGACGCATCCGGAATCACAAGCAACAGTTCTGCTCGCTGTCTTCAGGTTGCCATATGGCCGTCAGATTTAGTAACAACAACAAGAGCAACA